CGCGGCAGGCAACCACGCGCATAGGCGCCTACAAACCTAACTGGATACTTCACGCGTTGCGCAATGCGTGAAGTATCCCGTTAGGTTTGTAGGCGCCAGTGCGCGTTCTGCGCTGCTAACACGCCGCTCCGCTCTGTGTTAGGCTCTAATATTTAAACTCGCGGAGTCAGCGTTTTTCAACTCATGATTTTGAAATGTTTGCACTCTCTGCATTGATTATTCCCTTTTAAACTGATGAAAAAGAAATATGTACTACTGGAAAATATAATGTTTTTTGTAAATATAATAGTGGTTCCGTGTCAAATTTAATGATTTCCAAAGCATTCAAATTTATTCTTTCATGTTTTGGGCTTTTATTGTGCGTGGTGTAAGCGCAACTAAACGCTCAAAATTGGACGTATTTGACTTAAGGAGGTCGATGTACAAATAAGTTAAAAACAAAAAATTGCGTGCTTCTTAGTTTTTTTTCTCTTTTATGAATTTTTGTACAGTCTCATTCATCACAACTACAGCTCATTGAGATTCATATCGATGCCATCGTTTGGAAAAGGTTTTACAAATATTTGAGACGTTTTAAAAATGTAAATGTTTTTAAAATGAAGTAATCAATTTCATTAAAAAAAAGAATGTACATTTAAGGCATATTCTATATCGGATCTTTGATCAGGATATCAGTGGTGCTCAAGTCCACGCCAAATAAGTTTACGCACTTGTAAAATGCGACAGCGATCCGTCATCTTCATTACTTCAGGAATCAAGATGGCAGATCTTTTGCATTCTGAAAGCTCGTAAAGTACTTTCATACGGTCACAATTACAGCAGCAAAAATGCAATCATCTTTTGGCAACGGATGAATTTTGGGTCAGAGGGAGTTTGTTAAATTCGATCCTTCCTCAAAAAACGAGTCGCTCATCCATCATAATAATTGAACGAATTATTCTTGTCGCATATCAAAATAGACTAAGAGATACACCTTCTGACCACTCGGCGGTCCCAAACACCCCCCCCCTTCCTCCTGAAGCGCTTCGTGATCGTGCCCCAAGTGCACAGAGTACATAGAGTCGTAATGCAATTGGGAGAGCTGGCGCCACCTTTAAGCCTTTTCCAAATCCCGAATTCCGAGACGCCTCTGTGTCACGCCGGGTCACTTTTTCGATACATAAGCGATTGTTTGCGATACATGGGGACTCGGCCATCCGATGTAGACGAGGAGGGTAGGAATCACTACGTATTCTACACCGCCATTTTGGATCGAATGTGTATCGACAAAGTGTCCGAAATGCTCGGCACACACCGGGCTCGGAATTCGTCGACCAGAACATGGCACCAGCTCTCCCATTTACATTCCTTTCAATGTAATCTATGCACAGGCGTAATATGTTATGCGTGACTCTCGTGGTTTTATTTTATACCGTCATGCCGCAATCACACGCTGAATGTGGGAGCTGAATGTGGTTTGAATGTGGAAGTTATCGGCCCGATGCCTGAATTTTGCCCATGACGCGCAAAATTCAGCAACGATTCTCAGCAACCATCGGACTAATGTTGAACTTTCTAAACTATTCGAGTAGATTTGATACACATCTGAATGAAAATAACTCGAATTTGCTGAATTTCAGCCGTTGGGCGATGACTGTTGACTTCCACATTCAGCTGCTAAATTCAGCCTGTGATTATGCGGCATAAGATTTGCCATCGCCTGCAATCGAATGATCTGAAGAAGAATTTCCAACGCCGTCGGCCGTCGCACCGTGGGCAAACCGGAATCGTCGGTGGTCCTTACCGGACGCCGGCGGACGTGTCGAATTTAATGGAGGAAAAAATTGAAGAATCAGGCCCCTGGGCCGGGAGCCAGCGCCATCAAATTTTGAATTTTCCCTCCGCGCACCCCGCCGCCTCTCCGGGGAGTGCCAAACGGTCGGTTATAAATATCCGATGCAGATCAAGGTTATATTGTTTACTTGGCCACGTACTATCCCTCCGTAGAGCCTGCTCGACGGAACTGACCCATTTACTTCGCGACTTCGCTTTGCGCGCTTTTCAATTATGCTGCCCCTAAGCCCTTGCACGCTGAAGCCTTTGCTTAGTTTTACGAGCAAACTGCTCTAGTATAAGAGGTTACAGAGGCTGAAAGTAAAGCTGCAGTGAAAGTAAACACGATTTTATTGATCAATTAATAGTGGAATCAGCTTTTTTTAATTTATCTCATAGGGGTGCAGGGGGCGCACACTCCCCCTCCCCCCTGTTCTCCCGAGATAAAGAAGTAAGAAAAAGGGAAGAAAGAAAAAAAGGGAGACATTGAGGAGAGAAGTAGGAAAAACGCTGATATTTGGTACTTATTCTTGAAAAAATTGACTCAAACTGCATTTCAGATGCTTTACCATTTTGTAAGTTCTTTGGGAAAATATTACGGACCCTCTTGCCCCCGTTTCTGTTAAATGTGTCCGCTGTCCGGTTCCGCCCATGATTTACCTCGAAAAATCAATCGTTGCTATTTCAATATTGATATTGTTTAAATAATTTACCTACTGAAATTTTTTTCCTATGCTCTTATGCTAGACGGTCAAACCTCAACAGATTTCTAAGCATGACGTAGTTATAACTGATCAGGAATCCTGGTTTTTGTCTTGTTCTCGGCTTCCTAAGACGTTCTTTTTTCAGTGTGCTTTTCACTCATCCGTGTAAATTATTTTTACGGTGTATAATTCGCTGTGTGTAAACAGAGATAAATTCTTTACTTCTTTTTGAAACTAGGCTGTCATCAGTGCGCACTTAAAAGAAAAGGAAGCTTTCCGGCTCTGGCCTTAACTCACTAATCGAGTGAGATTTGCGGAGAGGATGAAAGAAAGAGCGTCTTACATAGGTTTGCCAATCACATGCATTACGCAGACTAAGTCTGAGAGCTCCACCATTCATCATTTATCTTAGCTCGAGGAGCTAATTTAAGACATCAACTCTGCCGCCCTCCTCTTCAATAATCCCCACAAATAATCCCCTGCAGCCATTTTTACCCTAGACATATGCATTTCTATGAGCGTATTCCAATAGACAATCTTCCATTGCAGCCCAGTGACTAGTGTGTAACTACTCCTGCAACTCAAGTAGGAACTCAGAGGAAAAAGTTAAATTCCACGCATTACGTATTTGATGGTATAATACAATCTACTGAGAATCTAGTTATCTAATATAATTTTAAATCTATTTAATCGAAGATCTGTTGATTTATTTAACTGTTGAGGAGTTATCCTATCGTTAAGTAAGTACTATCAGTCAATACCGTGCATTTCCTTTTGTCAAAATCGCTTGCGGATCTAATTTTTTGTCGGCATTATTCAGCCTTCAACCGCAAAAAATTGACTTGTCACCTTGCATCGATTAAACGTTTAAAAAACTAAAGGTAGCTCAATACCGTAGCCTCAAAAAGAAAAAGAAAAAAAATAAAAAAAAAACTGAAAACTACTACCGCTGTTATTCAACCCATCGTTAATCATTTAAAATTAACCTTCTAATGCTATTACAATTTTATATATTCACCGTGCTAGCTGCATTTTGTGCACAAATGGATCCACAGTTTTCTTTAATCGTAAGTAAATTTTCCTTTGAATTGGACGTATTTCTGCCGAACGAAACTATGTGCAATATGACGTGAGCCCAGGCATACATTTATGGGTCTCAGGACTTATGTCGCAAAGCACATGGTCTCGTTTGGCAGAAATACGTACAATTGGCGCCAGTGGCAGGGGTTATGTGCAGTTTGCAGAATTTTTGAATGATTCGGCACATGCACAGAAAATATCTCCGTTTGAGAACAGCCAAAAATCGGCTTCACGGGAAAGTCTGATTCACGCGTCATCACCTCGTGCATAGGCATCTTACGTCAGCATTCTTGGCACCTTATACAGCGCTCGTTACTCACCGCGTCATGGATGCATACAATTGCATTGGTCAGAAAACCACAATGCACTAATTCAACTGATTATTTTGATTACTAAATTAATTGAGATTAAAAGAAGGGCGATGACTGATTCCGGCTGACATTAGTCAGAACTTGAGAAATCAACTGAGATCCTGAAAAAAGTAGCTCATGTATCTCCAGGTTATCAAATGTTATAATGACGTAAATTGAATTGAAAGTTGAGCTCTGAGGACATGTTTACTGCGAAAATTTCCTGCGACGCAAATTATTATTGTAGTCAGTGTCATGATGCTCAGAAATGCAACTTAACGAGAGTGCACTGTATATTGTATTCTCAATAACTGAAGGCGCCTCAGTGACCCTATTCATTATGGCACCACTTCAGCCTGTTTTCGACTCCTTGCCTTTCACGACTTACACCATCGCCGCGGCGGCATCTGGTCGATGGATATCTGCAACTTGTCCAGACTGAAACCTCGATGAAACGCAATCAATTCATCGACCTAGGAGAGCTCTTTTCAGCCTCTCCTCAAGTCTCAAGTGGATTATGCTCTCAAGCTCCATAACGCCTGTTGAATTCGTACTGAAAGACGGATGTTTTCTCGGACCAGTGAGGGTATATGGGCGCCGGCGTATAGTAAACTTGAAGCATTAATCCCAGAAAGCAGACATTCGATTGCATTTTCAAGTCTTACCCCGAGAACTTTTTTGAGCTGAAATTTTATCCGAGAAACTTTATGAATACCCGTTCATGATAATTACTCGGTAATGGTTTACGCATAAGATTGAAGATAGTTAGTTAGTTAGTTAGTTAGTAAGTTAGTATATTTTGAGACATTCAGCGTCACAGGCTATTAACGTCTTTACAGAGAATTTTGAAAATGGGAGTATATACGAATATTTAGATTTTTAAATTAAGAGAGGTGAAGAGTTTCAGAACTTTGGTAGTAATATTGGGTTCATCGCATGTAGATGGAATTACAATGATTCACAGATAGATGTACAAAAGTGTTTTATAAATTTTATAGAGACAAGCTTTTAAATTTTCCCATCTACTAACAAAATGAAATTTGATTTTGTGCAGGTAAACGGAGGTAGTATAGCAGAACGCGCAGGTCTAGCGGTCGGCGATGGTTTAGTCACAGTAAATGGCTACGACGTTTTCAACTTGAAACACAAAGAAGCACAAGACGCCATCGTCCAGGGAGGCAACTGTTTGGAATTACAAGTTCAAAGGTAAGCTTTAATTTTATCATCGTACGGAGCAGTTATTATGATATGGCGCTCGTGCTGAAAATAAATTGTCTCTGTCGTATTCATCAGCTAGATAAGACATCTCAGTCAAGATATGAATGTTATGAAAAGACACCTAAAATTATCACAAATTATTTGAAAAAATTGTGACATTTCCAGGTGAACTTACTATTATGAGTTCCGTGTAGTAAAATATCTGTATGTAAGTATGAATAATTATGAACGACTGAATTCAAGTCACCGGTGTAATATTTAGAGTGTCCTTAAGTATGTGTATCATACTAAATATTTTGTAACTTTAATTGCACATTCAGAATTTTTGTTTTTTATTTTTTTTCATCTGCTGGATTCTTGACATATGAAGCGGTATAAAAGAACTTTGGAAAAAAACCTCATTTTGGATCAGTAGAATGGTCACAACATTATCCAAATTGAATACATATATCGCAGTTGAATACATTTTCCAGTGATAATGTGGTAATTTTTGTCGTCTAAAGAAATTGCGGTTTCCACAAATATTATTTCAGCTGCCCAAAAGAAAATTTCAGAGTAAAAAATATTCATCGAACGTTCCTCTTGATCCAAAAAGAAATACTTTTCTATGATAATGCGTACCCTATATATCGGTCCCTAATACTGCCGTGCTAAGGAAGAACGCCGCATGAGCCATCAGGCGTTTCCAAATTTCATTTGATAAAACACGTAATTCCTGGTAAACCTAAGAATATTTTTCTGTAATTTTTCGGATAATTTTGTTCGCAATTTCACCTGGAGGTCCTGAAAATTTCAATGAAAAATATTCACTGCTTTCCTTAAATATGGACGTTTTATCGAAGGAAAGGCAGCTCTCGAATGTTCACACGGCGTTCTTCCTTAGCACGGCGGAATACCTTTACCTAAACGATGTTCATATTTGGCGACCATCCGTGATCTTTACACTTCTTCCTCTCCCTTTTCTAACTGTTTAACTATTGAGCCATCAACCCTACTTTAAAATCAAATCTTCACAAGTTTTACTACAAATATGTCAGATAAAAATCATCGTCCGAGCATTGCTTGTTCGTTCATTCTTAAACACATTTCAGGTATAGGTTCACGCTTACCTAGTTAAAAGAGAGGAAATTATAATAATCAGTGTGGGATAAAAAACTAAAATCATTCTGTAATCTCAACAATAATTATGCTAACGTCCTATTCTCGAGAGGTACTGGATGATAATCAGAAAACCTGGCCGCAGAAGTACAAGCTGCCCAGTTATACAAGTTCAAATGTAAGATGTAAATAGCTCGGCGAACCGCTACATTGTGGACAACATATGTCACGCATCATAAAAGCGTTGGCTGAACTTGGGTCGAGCTTTATTCACTTTTGGCAGGGAGCAAGCAAAGCCCAAAGACAAGCGGTATTGTTCTAATCCAATGAGGGGAACCGCGAGATCATCTCCTCTCATGCACTAAAAACACTGCAATAAGTAGTTCACGTCATGAATGTCGCGAAAACTTAGGATAACTTGGTCGTAATGTTTTGATGGTGTGGATTACTGAAGGCGCCTTGGTGAACTGAATCATACCGGTGTATGATCTGTACTAGACCTACTTTTTGAAGCCATTAAATGTTGGGCTGTCATTTTTAAAACTGTTATATTAGGAAATAGTGGCCATGAGTTGTATTTGCTGAATAATAGCAAAGAAAAGTTAATTAACAATCGGGAAAATGTTACTTGATATATACTTGGGTATCCTAGAACTCCGCGATTAACTCCATACAGTTCTTCCTCGATTTAATTCCGATTAAGTTCTTCCATCGTGAAAGACATATGGCCTTCTGCCAAACGGAACCATGTGCATTATGACGTGAGCCTTGTAATGCATATATTCTCATGGGTCTCTAGGCTCACGTCATAATGCACATGTTTCCATAGTTCTCTAGTATAGGAGAATAAAAAAGTAGTTAACTTTTTGAACCGTTGCTGTGAAGTCACGAATTTTTTACCGGGACCATCGATGAGATTTCTATGATGAACGCGTATGAATTTTCAAAAGTTTCTAAAACTCTTCCGACATGACATGACAAAAACTTCAAAACCATAAGCTGAAAACCGCTAACGTCGCAAAGTTTGAATTATAGCATCAAACACAGAGCGGCCGGCGCGACGCGAGGTTGGCGAGGAACATAGCAGCGCCTTACAAGGCCGCAGGATACTTCATGCATTACGCGTATAACATGAGGCGCGCCAGGCGTATAGGAGCGCCTTACAAGTCTGCAGGATACTTCATTCATTGCGCGTATGTCACGGTGCGTGCTCAAATCGTTGAATGTTGTCAATCGATTCACGGATGTTGTCGATCGACTCACTGGTTTGTCGATCGAGTCAAGGTTGTCGATTGAATCGATGTGGATCGAATCACGTCAATCGATTCACGATTTTACTTTTCGATCGATTCATGTCGATCGAATCCATACCCTCTGCCTCGTCGAATCCATACCCTCTGCCTCGTCGAATCCATACCCTCTGCCTCGTCGAATCCATACCCTACGCTTCGAAAGGGTTCATTGATCAAATGAACATCATTTTGCAATGAGGAACCACAAATTCTGGCTCGTTTAGGAACAACGTATGTACCATTAATTTCCTATTGCACATAACTGTTTTTACGGATGAGTCTGAAATTGTAGTTCCAAATAGCAAAATGTAGTCCAAATGATCACGCCACTACATCGCTGCGGCTTTTTATCGTCCTTTATTTTCAGACTATTTGCTTTGAATTAATTTTCTGAATGAATGAAGGGTAAAAGTCTTGCCTTTACATGCATATGGTTTATTGTTAGTTCAGTGGAATTACTAGTACATTTCGGACGTAGAGTCCATCCGCAGCGTTAAATCACAAATTACATTGCTAATACCAAAATTTACATCCACTGAACTAACAATTAACTAGAGGCGTGTAAAGGCAAGACTTTTCTCATTTATTTATTTCATTTAACATTGACAAGCAAAATGCGTTACAAACCATTATTGATTAATTTTCCCGCTCGTTTGGATTTCAGAGGTGGCGGCAGCACGTGGAAACCCCTCGTCCAGAATGTCGGTGCAACACCCTCACCTCTCTCACATGTAAGTGGACCCCCGCCCTTTGTGACCAAAACCTCTCTCGCAGCCAACAAATATCCCAGCAAACCCATAGGATCTGGACACAATGTCGCCCCGAAACCCTTTAATGGATTACCTCACTCACAGGTTTCAAAAATCACTCTAAATAGTATAAAGCTTTCCGCTTCAAGCTTTCTGCTTTTTACTCATCTGCAATCGGTGTCTTAGCTAGGCTAGGTGAGCTTGGTAAAGGTTTTTAAAGGAAACGGACAATCAATAGAAGCGTGGTAAAATGGTCTATGAAGTCTGAACCTATCTGAAAAATTGCCAATCGAAAAGGTCCATTTTGGAAATGAGAGCAGGTGATTTTCCCATCCCGATTTTTTAAAGTTCCCGCCAATGCCATTAAAGTTTCCTCTTTAATTTTGCGTTAAATCACATCCTTTTCATCAAATTTCTCAAGCAGTCACTCAGCTATAACGGAGATTTTTGAGAGGTTGAGACCTCTTTTCCATTGGTTTTGATGATGTAACAAAATTTCATATCCAGGCCTAATACAAGGATGAATAATTAACTTCCACTTAACACTATGCTCTCCATGTTCGTCATTTCCCCTCTCTTCCTATAAAACATCCGTTAAATAATACGTTATCCACATGTCTTGCCAGCTTTCACTTTAATTTCCACCATTTTCTTCCTAATGTTACACTAATTATAGCAGTAGACTTAGAAAAACTATATTCCATTTTCATGAAAATTAACTATGATTTTTTTCTAAAGTGATCGACTGATCGCAGAGCTTAGTTTTTAATTTTTAATTGTTGATTTTAAATAGTTTTACCTGTCAATATTAACGCACATGTGCGACTTAGCAATAGAACTATATGACGCAGAATAAACTAATGCCATTAAGTTTTTAGCGAATCATTACGCTAACCATCAATTAAGACTGTGCAAAGAATTAAACAATTGTTGCGTTTGGCATTTTCAGCACGACTTAACGTCAGACACGAATATTATCATAGGAGCTGTGACAAATACTTAGCTTAGCAACGTATTTTAAGATACATTTAACATTATATTTTGACCATTAGTCATCAGCGGATCCTGACACTTCGAACGGGAAGGGGCGGAAGAGGGTTCTGGGGGCTTTCTTTCCGAAAATTTTCGAAATGGAGATGAAGATAGAATACTTCTGAATTCAATTATTTAGAGCTATCACTTTAATTTAACCCTATTCTATATTTCAGTTGAATGGCACCAGCAATGGCCAAGTAAAAGCAATTGTGAACAAACAGTACAACACACCGGTCGGTATGTACAGCGAAGAAACGATTGCCGAAACACTCTCAGCTCAAGCAGAGGTTCTAGCCGGTGGTGTCATAGGGTAAGTGAATTATAATTTCTTTGCTTTTCTTTCCATACAAAATATGAATCGATCTTCCATTTAGCGGACGTTGAGGTCTCTTATGGGAAGCAAGAGAAGGCTCAAAAAACCCAATCAAATAAAAATTATGCTAAATTAACCATAATTTTTAACCATCACAAATTGCCGTATTGTCCAAGACAATACATCATAGCATAGATTCAGAGGGAAACAAAAGTCATTTTCAAATTTGAAGTATGTGGGCAACTTGGCTAATTTTTTCGCTGAGGCCACTTGTGACATCTAATAATTTACTTAACTTCACCCGTGGCATACCTGTCTTCACATAAAATTAGTTATCTCAAGCTGAGCATTGTAGAGTAATATGTTTAATTAGTTTTACATGCTCGAGCCTTGCCCATTCGAAGCCAATAATGTTGCCCCTTCATCAATCAGTGGCAGCAACAAATCATGCATGTATGGACCGCTATCTGTACGACCAATTGCAAAGTCTGATAACAACTGCAGGAGTGATATGGTGCATCTGGTGATGGGTTGAAAGTAGCGAATATCCCCATTTCCCAGTCCCACTTCATATATGGATCATTAGATCAATGGCATTTGTTCCCTCGCCCTGAAATATGCCATTCATTTTGTACCTTGTTTAATCTATGGTTTCGCATTTTGTTGTAGCGTAAATTTCAAGAAAAACGAAAAAAATTACGACGCACAAAAAAGTGAAGTATTCAAAATGGTCCACGAGGTAGATGCCGAACCTAAATCACCTGAACCCGGTAAGGAATATCTTTACCATATTTGCTGTACTTTGATTTCTATAATATAAACTTTATATATTATGACTCTAATTTGAAACTTTAATTCTATTGTCAAAACAAAAATTGATATCTTTCTTGGCCAGATTCTGACCAGATACTTAGTTGATGGCTGGATTAGATTAAGCGAAATTTAAAAAAGAAAAATTTCTGCGAAGAAATCTAGTTAATATTTAATAATTTCTTCGTTCCATGACAGTATTTACACAAAACACAAAAAAGGATCATTAAAATTTACAATGCCCACTTAAACAAACCACCCTAGGACTCCGTAAAGGGAAATTCTAGCACTCATTCACATGATTTTTACTCATCAGTTCCCATTCCCATAGTTGAGCATTCATTTTCAACACAAAACATTTTTCGGAATTTTTATCATTTTATTTCTTCTTTCCTTTTATTGTTCCGTAATGCTCCGTTTTTTAGAACAACCAATTGAACAAAACGGAGTGGTAATCCCACCACCAGTGAAGGGCCTTAGACATGTGTCTGCTCCTGAGAACAAACCTTCATCTCAGACCCATGGTGGTAGCCAACCGTTGCTTCCAGGGCAAAATATTTGCGCCGATTGTGAAAGATTGATTGTGTAAGTGCCAAGTGGCTCAAAAATTAGGGAATTGTGTACTCAAGCTTACATTAACGCAAAGTAGGGATGTTGAGTAGAATTGTTGAAGGTATCCAGGTATCTGAGTGCTGATTTTCAATGGGCTTTTGAGGTAAAAAATGCTCTTAGATTTCCTTACCCACCGATCTCTACAGCCATGGATAAGTAAACAAAACTAACATCTCTAGTTTTGTTTACTCAAAGTGACGGCATCATCATTAAAAAAAGAAACAGGTCTATTTTTCAGGGATGAGACATCGTTGTGAGACCTGAGACAATTATAATAACTATACCTTTAAAGGATCTTTCTTCAAAATTTCAGAAGCAACCTTGAGGTCAACAAAAATAAACATAAATTCAAGTGATTCGTAAAGAATTTTGACGAGGTTGAACTGGCATGCGATATATCGTATCGTTAACGTCAAGCATCTCAGATTATTTACATTATCGATGCTATATATTGCACGCCAGTTCGACTACGCCAGAAGCCGTGGCGAATCACCTTAAAATGAAATAATCAAGCAGGAAATTTCATTGTTATCGTTATCGTCACAGTTGCCGTACTTTTAAGCCAAAGGTTGCAGTAGTTACGCGAGTAAATCAAAAAGATCATTAAACGAAAAAATTTCAATTTTTCTGAAAATGATCGCGGCTTTCGGTTTATCATAATGAGCGGTTCTTTATTATTTTGGGGCATTACTCTTCTAGATCAATTAAAAAAGTGTGTATAGGAAGTGGTTTTTACACTAAAACAGTTTTATTTTCTTGCTCATATGATTGTGTAGGCACTCTTGAAAAACACGCTTTTACATCAGTGGTGATCGCGACCTAGGTAGTCAGCTTAGTTAGTCCGAAATATAGCAAGCAAATGCTTTAACGTTTTGATTTCGTAGTTGTTCACACTCACACAATTTTCACACTCTCACTGCAAAATTGCTTTTTTAACACAATCAGTTTTATTAGTAAAAAATTTAACTTACTAAATATAATATGTGAGGGAGTTGAAATAATTTTTTTATGACCCGATGGAGAAGGACAGCAACGACTTCCTTCATTTTATGAACAATAGTGAAATTTACTGCCCTATTAAGGATAAACACAGTCGTAAATTATTTACATTTCTGACTTTGAAGGAACCCGGTACTCGTCGCACATACTTTAAGGTGCATCTATATTTGACGCTTCAATCAACCATTCTTTTCTTCGGCAACATCGTGGAACTTGTGAATGAGCTTCTCGCTCCTATCGCGTAACTGTTCTTGCCTACCGATCGCTTTGAAGGAGTTTTATGCTCTGCAACTTACCAAGCTGTGGGTTGTGACTCTAATTCACAATCAAGAAACGGTCTGTGAAACTAAATAAACTCTGGACTTTTCAATCAATGAATATAAATTTACAATAAAAGGATTTTTTTCATTTTATCAGAAGCAATTCTGCTGTATGACACTCCAACACATGCAAGTACGAGTTTTTTCCAAAATGTGTTATGTATTCCCTCAGTTTTATATCGGACTCTTAAGTAATGTTATAACACTAAGGAAACAGTCGGGAAATTTTAAATAATTAAAAAATTACATCGCATACATTCACACATGCACACACTCACCATATAACTGCTTCCACCTAACACAAATAACTATAGTTTTAGCAAATTGGCCATTTTTTCCGCTATCATGTAAAAATAATTCGCAATTTCGTTATTGATCTCACACCAGACTCATTCGCCATTGGTTATAGGACATTTCGTCAACGATCTTTTGTCCGCGCACCAATTTTTTCCAGTAATTTACGTCCACGCGTTTTTTCGGCACGGGAGTTTTGGTCCACGTGCCAGTTGAGACCCAAAGTTAATTGGCCCACATGAAAATACAAACGACAATTGCTCACGACGTTTTTGGATGAAAATGTAAAATGTCTTGGAAGAATGAGGGTTTGCTTGTTTTCTTGTTTTGTCTGTTTGGTCCAACGGAGAATAATATATAGTTGAGAGTTTTGGTAAAAATGAGGGAGCGTCAATTCCATGAGACAAAATTCACTAAAACTCTCTACACCTCTTTGGTGTAACAGGACTTGATTATCTTTCAAGATTTTCCCACCTCGTTATACCTGAACCGGATAAACCTCTATATTTGCCTCAGCTAAAGGCTCTTAGATTTTTCCAGTGCACATTAAGTATCTTGAGTTATTTTGCGAGGAAAGATCTGTACTTTTAAAAGATGCCTGTCATGCTTAATACGTTTAATTTCGTATAATAGTGTGCAACACCTCTGTTGTGAAATAGTTGCTTCAGGCGCCGCCGCACGGCGGGTGGGCGGCCAGCGCGAAACGCGCATTTGCGCCTACAAACCCAAGTGGATACTTCAAGCATTGTGCAAAGCTTGAAGTATCCACCTAGGTTTGTAGGCGCCAGTGAGCCGCTCGCGCTGGCAGCACGCTGCTCCGCTCTGTTAGGCTTCACTCGCATAGTCAGCGTTTTTTAACTCATAATTTTGAAATGTTTGCACACTCTGCATTGATTATTCTCATTTAAATTGCTGGGGGAAAAATATATATCAATTTATCAAAGTAGAATAATAATATAATGTGTGTTTTTTAAATATTGGTGGTTCCGTGTCAAATTTAATGATTTCCAAAGTACTTTAATTTTTTCTTTTACATTTTGTGCGCTTTTATTGTGCTGCAGCGAGGTGTACTCGCAACCAAACGCTCAAAATTTGACGTATTTGACTCTAAAAGATCGATGTACAAATGGGTTAAAACTAAATATTGCGTGCTTCTCGGTTTTTTCCTCTCTTTTATTCATTTTTGTAATTTCTGTCGGCACAACTGCGGCTTATTGAGATTAATGTCGCTTGGAAAAGGTTTTACAAATATTTGTCACGTTTTAAAAATATAAACGTTTTCAAAACGAAGTAATAATTTTATGAAGAAAAAATTTAAAAAAATAAAAAAGTACCTATACATTTATAAAAATGTTATTACATCAAATATTTTAAGGATAGAAATAAAACCAAATATTCACCAATGACAATTTAAAAAGATGATTCAAAAGGAGAAAGTAATAACGTTTCATTTAGAAAATGAGCAACTATAACAACACCTTCCTTCCCTCTCAATTTCTCATTATCCATATTGTCAATATAATTGTACAAACCGACTAAAATATAACGCTTGGACCAAGTCACCGTTGCTTATTTTACGTGTGGGCGTAAACTACTGGACAAAAAAGGTGCGCGGACAAAAAATCGTTGACAAAATGTCCTGAAACCTCACCATTAGAACGAAATTTTGTTCTATACTTTTCTTAACATCGTCATGCGTGAGTGGCAATGTGTTGCAATGTTGTTACTCACGACTTCGACGAAAAAAATACATCGTGCCTTCTGCCTGAATTAAATAGGCCGTAGATATTGAAAATTTGAATCTTTAACTCTAAGAGTATGGTAGAATATATCTTGCATTGACATTTCATTTCTTATCATATTTCTGTTTATTTTTGCAATCTTCTAAAGTGCAGTCCGTTGAAGTCATAAGACCTGTTTGAGGGGCGACTATGAATACAACCCCTAATTGCTCAAACCATTCTTTACAGGGAGTCCCCAAAACTTATTGATGCACACTTTCAAAATAAGATTTTTCATACTCGATACAAGATTGCAAATTAGAAGATTGCTTTTTCATCCAGAGGCGGATACAGCAATTTAGCAACACCGGATTCTCTCCATTAAAACCTATGCTAAATAATCGATTACTATTGGAGCACCTGGCCCCACCAAGAATCGATACATTTCCATGTGTTTAAATGGAGAAGAGACAATGTTGCCAATTTGCTGGATCCGCCAATGTTTTCATCTCACTTATTTTTCTTAAACTTACGTCACACCAGCATATCGTGCCATCAGTATACTAACATTGAGTGCTATGATTGGTCCAAGGCATCGAATAAGCCAATCATAGCACCTGAACTTGAGGATTTGATGTACCGAAAAAAAAAGAGATGCAGATTTAACATTCTGGATGTAAAAAAAGTGCGACAACTCTCAAAAGGCTGGATTAACCGCTACGAAAGTTACTTTAGCAGTATCAAGATGTAAAATTAACTACTGGGGCGGTAACTTCAGCATTTTGTGAGTTGTCGCACACTTTTTTACATCCAGAATATTTTATAGAATTTTATCCAGAATACTATCCAGCATCCTTTTTCTTTTGGTGTGCCTCGATTTGATGGTGTGACGTCAGCTCTAATAAAACTGATTATTAACACGTTGTGGCTTTTGCTTTGCTGCCGGGGTAGTTCCGCCCTCGAGCGCGGCGTATTTCGCGACGTCGAGCCACGCGGTGGGCGGGCGGGCCACGTCGCCGCGACCCCTCACGCCGATGGCCCAGCAGATCGCCTACGGGAGCCCCACGAACCCCTTCGTCGTCGCCAAAGAGACGACAGAGCTGCCCGCAGCCACCGCCACCGTCGCAGACCCGCCTAACTGCTCCGAGTGTGGCAAAATTGTCGTGTGAGTCTTTTTACCGCTTTTCACTCGTTTTCAAAGCAAAGCTTACATTTTCACTCGATTTGTACAGTTTATTACCGTTTGCCGCTTGCATGCTTTACCGCAGGCTAACCCAAACTGCGGGCTGATCATTCAAATTAGTAGACAAAGCTAGAGTCCCTTTATACTGAGAGTCAAGACAATGTGAATACATTTCTGATCGGTTCCCGTATTTTAGGCCTTCACAGTGTCACAAACGGGAATAATGATTACATCACTGACTGCCAAGATTATAATCTGGAACGGACCAGGGAATTACAGGTTCGGCAAGGAACAAACGGAATGAGAGAAGGCACGGAGAAAGGGATCAGAGAATGGGCCGATCAAAGATTACGAAATACGTTCGATTTCTGTAATCTTTATTCCCGTTTATGACTCCATGAGGGGGTGTTGTCTTGACTCTCAGTATAAAGGGACTCTAGACTAAGCCATAGGCAAAAAAGATAAAAGAAATATGGAGGGATCCTATTAGCGGAAGCGGGTGGTTACAAAGGACAAAGGAGGAAGGTAATAGAATAAATAACGGCAATCCACGAGGGACCCGATAGTTAGTCCATCATTTTCTCCCTTACAAAGTCTATAGGAACCACTCATTTCAACCAATAGGATGGCTCCATACTCCCTATGTCTTCTTTGTCTGTCGCTTTGTCTATCAATTTCAATAATCGGCCCGTTGGATCGCATTTTGCAAAAAGGAACCACTGCAATTACAGTGTTTTCGAATTCGTGCAAACTTCTAATTTTCTTTTAAAAATACTTAATATATGTAAAATATCAAAATGTACATCAATTTTCCTTTAAAATTAACAATGTTTTGGTGGGGGAAAAAACTATGTGCTATTTTTGGAGATTTATTAGGCACTCACCTATGAAAAAGCAACATATTTACAACACTGTAATCGCGCCAGTTTCTTTTTGATAAATGCGATCTAATTTAAAAGGCACCTGTTTCCAAATGGTGAAATCTTAATTTGGACTTCATTTTACGTTATTCTATGAAAATCTTCATTTTACGTTCCACACAGAACTTCACGCTAAAAACGAGAACTTTGATTAAAATTTGCACATCTATAACTTAAGTCGTTGGTCCTCACAGTGATTATGTCGTATGCTGAAACCCTTTTGAAGGACTCATATAACTGATGCGACTGAAAAATAGTACATTAAATTTCCAAGTGCACACTAATGTATGTTACATACTACAATTCATAACGCATAGACCATTCCAAAGAATAATCTTAATTTTTCATTCATTATCCGTAATTCAAATATCATTCATTGTACAGTATACAGCTTTCTCGGTATTCTGCATGAAACCTTCTTTTAAAACGATTGCAGTTAAAAAAAAGAGTCTACCATATAAAAGTTTAAAGTAATCATTCGAATTATATAGAAATAAAAAATTAGTATATACCGTATTTTAAGGTTCTAGGACACATAGCTTCGTTCCTTGCTTTAATAAAAGCATGAACTGACATATTTTGTTTGAAATCGCTGTATGCCTATATCGGTGGCGTAGCGTGTTATGCGATGTATCGATTGACCTGCCATTTAAAATGGAAAAGGATCGATAAACAGGGTGTTTGAAACGGACACCTCGATAATCGATTCTTTACCATTGCTTCAAATGGAGAAATATCGATTATCGATCATACTTGCTTCGCCACCGACCCAAATGAGACAAATGGGACGAATGTGACAAATATTCATTAATTTTTATTTTTGAAAGTTTTGGCAGAAATGAAACATATTGCGTAAAGTTCAAGTAGGAGTCCTCAAAAAAGGAAACAAACAGTATTATATTCAAACAAAGCTTTCAGTAATGATATTACGATGGGCTGAAAAAAATTTAACTTCAACGAAGTTATCAGACAAAGCTCAAAAAATGTCCACAGCGGAAAAGAAAAGAATTGTATACTACATTTTCCGACATTAATTGAATTCTCTCTAATCATTTTTCTGCTTCTCTCTCTTTTTAGGGGAGTTTTCGTTCGCATAAAAGACAAAAACCTGCATGTAGAGTGTTTTAAATGTGCAACGTGTGGAACCTCTCTGAAAAACGTCGGTTATTACACCATAAACAACAAGCTGTATTGTGATATCCATGCAAAAATGATTGCTCGTCAAAACCCTCCTGCTCCAAACCTGGAGCCAATAACAGTTTCACCGTAAGTTTGATCCATGCCATTTTCCCCTCCTGCATTTCCATGGCACGCCGAAACTACTATCTCTCCTTCTATTCCTTTGCTTGAAAAAAACGCCCTCAAATACAAATATTTTTTTCGATCCCTCAGTTTATTTTTCGGATAACATTGAATCCGTATAGAAAACAATTTACAAAAATTTTGATTTGTGATCGACGATACGTAAAAGATATCCCGCCCCCAGAAACAGTGTCAGAATCTCAGTTCCGTCAATATTGTGTGTGTTTCTTCTTGATCTTATTCATTTTTCTTGGCATTTTAAACGTATTTACGTACGCCAACGTTTCTGCTCCTTTATTCCTTTAAAAAAAAGCGAAAATATGTAACACCGCATTCAAGCAGGCTCTTCGCTTTTTTGTAAAATATCCTCGTTTGTCCAATTGTCCCAAGTTCTCTCTGATTTTTTGCGTGGGTATGTGTCATGACGTTTCAATGTCAATCAAACTGAATGTTATGTGAATTACACGAGTGTATTTAAAAAAGAACCTGCAAACCTAATTTCTGCAATCGATTGTTTCAAATATATATGAACACGGTCCTTCATACTACAAACACGAAATCGGCGATTTCAGATAAAAAAGTATAATGTTATTGTCAAAATGTATTTTTATTTAAACATTTTTTTTTTCAATCATTACCTAACCCAGGCACTGCAAGAGGTTCTTGCTAGAGGTTGCCCATGGCTCAAAATTGGATTCATATTTCACTAATATTTACCTGTTGCAATAAAGCTATCCTCCTATCCTACTATATATACTCTAACTGATGTACAAACTTATTTCCACACTGAATCATCTGACATACCAGTTTCATAAACGACCGTATTAATTAGTCAATACAAGCTATTTTGTGATCCGAAGGTCTTGGTGAAAACGTGCACTGGAAAAAAAACACATTGGATCTAGAGTCCATACTCTTGAAAACATTGACAAGAAAAAATACTCTTGATTCAATCAGATTTAAACTTAAATCAAAACGAAATCCGCTCAAATTAAGAGGCTTGGTTCTTGATTTAAGCAAAAATCCGATTGAATCAAGAGTATTTTTTCTTGTCGATGTTTTTAAGAGTCTGGACTCTAGATCCAATGTTATTTTTTTTCCAGTGCGGTGAATGAGATAATAAGAAGGATTCCTCTCTAAACTAGTTGTAGTTGAATTGTATTTCATCGATTTGTGTGCCTTTTTCAACCTATTAAAATAGTTACTTTATTACAAGGAATCAACATGTTTGCTTTTCAACAATTAAATGTCATTAATTAAATTACTGTTCTTCCGATTTCTAGCGGAGGGCGCATTCCATCAAACGTTGTATCAAATGCTGTTAGCTCTGCTATGTCACCCAAGTCAAATCCCGTTTCCTCACCTTTTCAAGTAAGCAACCATTTTGTTTCAAATTTTTATGCGCAAAAGAGAATGAATTAAATGCGATCTTTACATGTTTCTGTGTACTCTGTGAATGCTATGTTTTCATGTTGTGCCCAAAAAAAAAATTGCACACCCAATTCGAAATAAAACAATTTTGATTAAATTTGGATGATCATACGCTCACGAGTTTGGCAGTATTTTATTGAGTATAGGGTCAACAAATAGCCATGCCGATAAAAACAAATTAAGAATAAGCATGTTATGTTTACTTAATGAAGATAATCTGTACACTGAAAATGATTCCTGAGAGGATTTCGATTCTTTTCCTTGGTCTGAAAATTGCAGCTTTTGCCGATTAAACATTTTGATACAGCCAACTTCATGGACCTGAATTCATGAAAGAAGAATTTTTTGCGCTCACTTTTGATCGATCGTTAGTCGGAAGTCTCACTGAGAATCATACCTAGAAAATTACCCTCCGATGTTGTATAAGTGTGGTATTCTGCAGTTACTGCAGTTAGCTTGCTCTACAAGGGAATCTCGAGGGGTAGTTCGAACTTTCATTATAAACAATACGATTATCGATGTTTTCATAAGTTTTCATGCAACCCAAATTCCTTAAAGCTAATATCAGCATTAAATTTTGAATTATAGATAACATAGCGTAATTGAGTTCTGACCACTCCTTTTCCTTGTGTAAATGTTATTATCATGTTATTAGTGTTATGATGATTTGTTATCATGGTCTCCGAGTTCCGTACATGTTTCATGTGATGCATGCCTGTCTCATTCCAGGTAAGGACCGTTCCCATGCATGTTTCACCAAGACCCACGCCCACACCACCTCAGGTAACATACTTTTCATGCTACTTTTCATGAAATATTTCACGTGCCCATGATAGGGAGTGCAGAGGCAGAGAGATCCCTTGTCCTCTACATGAAAGCATGAAAACCTCACTCCTTACTGTAGAAACTCAACCTTCCGAGTTGACTCTCAACTTTAACGATTCACGATTTTCATTTTTTTTTTTTTTTTTTTTTTTTTTAAAGCTCAGAAACTGGGACTTCGATCATGAAAAATTCGAGCCGCCATTGTTTCATTACTTTATCAGCATGTTTGGATGATTTTAATGTAGCAAATATTGATGTAAGTTTAATATACATCCCATTTTAATAATGTAAATTCTGCTGCATCATGTTGAATTTTGTAACGAGGAAATGTTTCATGGGAGAAAATTTGATTTTCGGGAAGCTACCATGCATTCCGTAGCATGTTAAATGCGGTATAGAGAAGCTTGATTTTCAGGTTTCTATGAAATTTTTCGGTCATTATACGTACCTACAGCCAAATTGAATTAGAAGCATTTGTTAAATTTAGAAATATGGAAGTTTAAGCTCCGCACAATGGGGTATTCTGCACTTCAAAAAGCAAGTAAATGACTAAGTGTTGCAACATTTTTCTTCATGCGTTAATTCACGGCAACGAGTGAATCACGACGGAGAGTGTCGGACGATTTCCTTCAAATTGTTTGGTAGGCAAAATAACTTACTGTAATGCAAGAGTAATACCTACTCCGACTATATTTTGCGTCATTTGTCTCCTTGTAAGCAGGTACTAATGAGGATGTTTTATTTCTGCATCCTAAGCCCCGTGTATCATTTTTCTTATATTACAGTATTTTAGTCTCACATCTCAATTTTATGACACGTAAGTCACTCATTTCTTCATGTGAAATTCGGCCTTCAACTCTGATGATTATTTTCTTGGACACTGTTTTCTGACTTTTTTTTTCCATGGAATTGCTTTCTAGACTCCAAATGCAAATGTTCTGTCACCAAAATCGTACAATGGCACAGCAGCTCCATTGACTCCGCCTATTTCTCGAAACTTTTCTCAGCCACAAACTGGTTCGTATCCTAAAATAATAGTCTCTCATCATTTGCATTACTTTTTATTTAAGTTTGATTTAGAGCCTGATTGAGGTTTGTTTCCTAATCTATGTTAATTAATTCGATCATAGTTAAATTGTTGGGGTGTTGACCATCAGATAAGTTGAAATCTGCAGAATCTAATTTTTTAGAATCGCTTCTCCGGTATCTTTCGACTCAAAGAAGTTCTGGTGCACCTCTAAAGGAGCTGTGTAGCTGCAAGTGAAATACCGAGGAGAAAAACGAACAAAGAACAAAGATGACATTTAATTTAGTTAAAATCCGAAATAACGTCCTAGGTTTCCGATCAAAAGTTTTAATTCGAAACGCCAGCCGGACAGAAAATTCCAGTAGGTAGACACGAAAAGGACTTTTTTGAGATATGAGGAAAATGCCAAAGGGAGGTCCTCAAAAAAAAATTCCTGACGACAAAGGCATTTTTGAGGAAATTAATCTTATTCTATTACATGTGATATCGCATGTACATCCCCTGAGGAAGTTTTGTTTCTATGATAAATTACGCAATTTTATTTGTGACCTCATCATCCATTCCTGTCTGTTTTTGCATGATAATCATGATTAGTGTGAGTAATATCACGTTATTGGTCCCATATACCGACTTAAAAAAGTTCTACAAATAACAACGAATACCTAATAATATACGTGGGTATTTTAGAAGCACCCACCTAAACTTTTCAAACCTTTTCTTGCATGTAAGTGTGCATACCCTCATACCTCTGTGTAACCCACTTTAACTCTCAAGAATACCTGATGACTTTATGAATTTTAGAGGATGTGCATCATTTCAATTATAAAAATACTTTTAACTATCCAACTGATTCAATCTTAATCATTCTGAGAAATAGCTGAATATAAATTTCGAGAAACATCGTCTTTATAGTGTTCATTAAAACTTAACAGTATCTAATTTCAACGGTTTAAACTTTTGAACAGGTCCTAACAGCGTTTCGAAACCGTTCAACTTCTCCAAAGGTACATTTGAACTCATTTTCCATATTTTTTGTAGCTAAACGTGCAAAACTTGGGGCTTATGCTAAGCTTTGTTCTGTTGGAGCTATATGTCAACATTTTCATATGACAATTTCCAATCTTCGACTTACGACAACTCTGTCTTTCATGCTTTTTTCAGTTATCCTTTTTGAGCACTGCTTAGAGTCTCAAGCACACGAAAATATTTTTTCAAGTAGTGAGGAAATTGATCTTAATGAAACTATTTTTGTCATTCACGTGCTAAATACTTTTTTTCATAAATTATCAATCATACTTTTGCTTAAAATTGCCAATAATGGAGTAGTAATTAGATTTAAAGCAGCGATGATAGGGGCGATTAGATGAAAAGGAGGATTCATTAGACTGTAGTCTGTAGAAATCTTTATTTTTTTTTTATCCCTGAACGTTTTAATTTTTGATTAGTTTTTGACAGATATTTTTGCTTCTCTAGTAATTCAGTTTCTATGACTCAAAGTAAAAATTGTTTTTGTTTAGCATTTACAATTTTTTCAAGTTTATTAGAAAATAGTCACTCGTAACTCTTGCAGATGCGTGGTTCAAAACTAGGCATTTCTTAGTGAATTTAGAGCTCTTTCGCAATACATTCCCAGAGAAAGTCTGACTTCTGGAGGAAAACGTAAAATTTCTCTCTGAGTTTGAAGGGGAATCCTTTAAGTGAATTTTTATATGTAAGAGGTAGGAGTAAACTCTCAAGTATTTATCAAATATTGTATGATGAATAATGGGTGTTGTTAAAACTGAACAACATTTTCACATTTCTGAGTGTGTATTGTTTGTGTAGGTTGTAGGTAAAACCTTAATTTGAAGGTAGCATTTACTCGTAAGCGGTGGATTTTATGGTCTAGAATTTAATCGTCATCCTGTGATTTTCATCTTATTTTTCAGATATGAGAACATTTAATCCTAAACCACGTCCTTTTTCCATTGTCCATTAAATACGCGACTAAAAGTCTTCATTGCCTACTTACGAAATTTTCTTTTTANTTCCAGTACGAATAAATTGCTATTATTTCGAATAGTCACTCCTTATGTTAAGGCAGCTATAGTATAGTGCGTTTTACCAATCTTCATACTAGGTGGAATTTAAAAAGCATGCACTCTTCCACTTACATGAATGAATTTTTTGCATCAGTTTTCTACTCTGTAGGAATCCTTCCTCATTTCACATGGTTTGATATGATCATGACAGGATATAGTTTAGAAAATCTTTATTAATTTTGCGTACACTATTTTTTCCCTGGTAAAAATTGGCGATAGGAGCTGCGTTTCAAAATACCATAGGAGTTCTTATAGCCGACTAAAGAAGGCTATTGAAAGTCATACATATAGCTCACTGTAGAAAACAGAGCAAATTATGTAGCCGGGCTATACGAAGCTTTAAAAAAGTATACAGTCGGGCTATAGTTCCTATCGCTGGGCTTTACAATTTATTGCCATTGGCTATGAAAGGCTATAAGAAATTGTGTAGAAATTCGTGTGCTTTGGAAATCATCAAGTTTCATACGGAACTACCTTAATATTTACAAAACACACATAATATTTTTCCTTAAAACATATTTTTTTCCATCAATTAAAATAAGAATAATCCATACAGAGTGTGCATACATTTCAAAATCATAAGTTGAAAAACGCTGACTCCCCGAGATTAAAGATTAGAGCCTAACACAAAGCGGAGCGGCGGCGCACTGGCGCCTACAAACCTAACAGGGATACTTCACGCATTGCGCAATGCGAGAAGTATCCCTGTTAGGTTTGTAGGCGCCAATGCGCGTTTTACGCTGGCTGCTCGCCCGCCGCGCCGCAATGTACCACGGCGCTGGAAGCAACTATTTCACATCAGAGGTATTGCACAGTATCGAAATTGAAGGCGCTCCAACATATTAAGAATGACAGGCATCCTTCAAAAGTACCTAGCTTTCCTCGCAAAATAAATCAAGATACTACGGCACAAAAAGAGAGCGGTAGTCCAAAAACTCACTGAGTCCTAGCATCCGTAATTAGTAACGTTTAGCATATACTTTATCGCCAGGCTGTTGCTTAATCGCCATCGTTTATAAAATGCTATAAGAAATTGTGTTGCCGGCTATAGAAGCTATTGGAAATTTTACAGCCGGCTGTAGGTCTATGGTATTTTGGAACACACATTCTACTGCCAATTTTTACCAGGGTTCTTTTCTTCAGTTTTAAGTAACATTGAGTTTGCGATACACTGAGGTCTCAAAAAACTCTGAAATATATTGAAAATTAATACAGCAAAAATCCGTCTTAAAAAAATAAAGTGTTTTAATCTTTTAACAACGCCGTGTGATAAGTGATGTTCCTTGTCGCAAGTTCCTTGCGTGCAGTACCAAATCGTTAAACTAACGGTAGTTTGGAAATGTTACACACGGTAACAGCTGAAATGACGGAGCAGGAGTTTTATTTGTCTTTAAAGGTATGACCTCCATTTGTTTTGTGAGGAATTTGTGTCATTTTTACTGGAAAAAACTGGAACACCTAAAAGCAGAATTTTTAAGTTTTTTAATCCTGTTGAGATACCCTTTAAGAATACAACATTTAAAGTCTCCTCTCTCCGTCATTGTGGAACGATATTCATCATTATCATCCTCATGCTGCAGCATTTTCATAAGTAACTTTAAATTTTGTGGCGCACAGCACATAACTCCTTGTTAACAATTTTGGGGAGGCGAGCGACGGAATGAATTTGAGGAAAGATAACAGTCCAAAGGAATAAAGTTAAAATGATATGCCTCCACCAATAAATAAGGAAAGGAAGTGTAGACTGTAATGTCAATGTCTATGATAGATAGGCACAAATTATTATCATGGACTGAGTTCATGTGATCAAGTATTTACTTTTATATATTCAGAATTTCATTAAACCAAACAAAGAATGTGAGGTGTTTGTCCTTGTTAAATATATTTTTAAATACATTTTAGCATGTTAACTTAATTTATTTATTTATTTATTTATTTATTGGATCCGACTAAAATTTTGTATTATATCTGTTGTAAAAAAATAATAAATTGTAGTAAATATAGTCACAACATGTTGTTACCCTTTGAATTTGCATACTTATGAATTTACGTAATTTTTGTTACATGTTGTTAGATTATTATGAATGTTTTGTGAATCCAAAATGTTAATATTTCAGTTGATATTGCGAGCCGTGTGTATGAGAGCATGAATTGCTGTTTTTATCCCATTCGTAATCATAGTCTGTTATATTTTTAGACGTAAAAAAATGTATGGATGCATTTTTATATTTCACTCGCCATTTGTAAAGGATGTATTTTTTCTACGGAAAAATTACATTGCCGTTGTATCAATTTAAATTATGTTTTAAGCGAAAAGTTGCAGCAAATAATCAAGAAAAATGTTCTTGGGGAAAAAGCTGGAGGCACCTCCTACCTCCTTTAAAAAACGATCGAATAACGTGTTTGGATGTAAATAAATCATAAACCACTGAAATATGAACTGAAAATGTGGATGTTTTCTAGAGCATCGGCACAGAGAATATGAAATTTCACATGAGAAAAAAATATAAAAAATTAAGTTTTACAGCTGACTCGCCTCTTTAATAATCAAAGAGAAACTTAAAGTTAATTATATTTCTAATTGCATTTCATCTCTTAAGTACATCCTAGTTTATTGATAAAAAATCGTTTCAGAGAGGAAAAATATCGTTACAACATAACAACGAGGCACTGATTGTAAAAAAAATCAAATCGTTTGAGCATAAAGGTTTGCTAAGAAACATATTTGCATAAAGTGGTGACAGTTTTAAAAAAAAAAAAACCCATATCGATTCTTTGAAAGACCTTAAAGTTATACACATATTTTAGTAGGACTGTATAATTCGATCACTAACGGAATTTTTCTTATTTGGACCTGTTTTGACCATCTGTGCCCTTACCCGTAAATCCCATCTGGAACTAATTTGAATCTACGTCTAATTGCATGTAAAACCTTAGACAAAAAAGAGAGTGGCAAAATTATCTGGCCTCCGGTGGAAACCGAGGAAAAGTACCCAACCGCGACACCGGGCTACTACCCACCCCCCACTGTCAAGGTCACGAAAGCTGACTCGAAAGGCGACGACCTTTCAACCGATCCAAGTTCGGAGACAGATACTCCGTCAGCATTCAAGCCGGTGAAACCGACATTCAAAGAACAATTAAACAGTCACATCAGTTTGATCGAACATCCCCCGCAATTCAAATTTTTCCACCCCGCGGCGAGTAAAATAGTTACTTTTTCAGAGAAAGTAAACGAAGCCGCCGAGCGGAAGGAGTCCCAAAATATCACCCCCACGGAGGGATACCCCTTGACTAGACAGCTTTCGGTTTGTTCCCAGGAAGTTTTAAGGGCACTAGCCGTCCCCAACTCAACCGATGGGTTGCCCGTAAAGCTAGACGCAGAGAAAGCAATAGAGGTGATCGAAGACGAAGGGCGATGCCCCTCTCCGGTGCCTTTCAGCCCCAGTTCTGAGGACTTGCAGGCGATTCAGAATCAGGCGAATAACAATCTCGGTGAAGGGATGTTGAAAAAATGTGCACACAGGGCTCCAACACCCATTCCGATATTAGACGTTGATGATAGCATTTCGGAAATGATGGAGGAACCGGGGAATACTGTCCAAGAACTAGTAGAAGCTCTTGAAAGACACTGTAAGACGACCATGCTCACAGACGCCCAAGCAACCGCGCTCGCAGATGCCTTAACAACCGCTCCCGAAAGACCGTACACCCCCTTACAGACGTCTCTGGTCCCCATCGTTCCGGAACCCCCCGAGAAAGCCCCACGAAAACTCACTTCACACTATGGATTCTCGAAAGATGCAGAGCCGGAACAATTCTACGATACGAAATCGGTCAAGGAGTTGCCAAAGCCCAAATTTGAAACTGGTCTGATGGCCAGAGCAATGATGATCGCCCCGCCAATTCCTTACCACACTTTGAAACCCTCGATGACAGAACCCGTAACCATACCAAAGCCCGTGCCTCTCCCACCCCCAACCAAACCTTATTTCCCCTCCTCCGACTCGAATAAAGATGAGGATCCAGATTCTTCTAGAGGAGACTGTAATTCGCCTCTGATGCACGCATTGATGACGGCCCCGGAAAGATGCTACTCACCTTTACCGTCCGTTGTTGAGCCTCCGTCTCCTCCGTCAGGGCCGTTGCCCAGTTTGGACATTGACTACATCGTCAAACCTCCGTCTTTTGAGAAAGAAGAGGAAGAGGAACATAAGTCTGCTTTTGTTGGACCTTTGAAAGGGAAGCGACTTGTACCGTGTGTCAAAGATCTTTCAGAATTGAGACTGGAAAGCAAAGGGAAGGAATCTTTGCTCTTCCCAGAGCAACAGCTCGGAGGTCCGCAGTTACCGCACCTGGCAACTGAGCTTCATAAGCCAGTGTGCATCCCACCATACCAAGAAAACCTTGGAGACACCCCCTACCGTCCAAAGACTCCCCGTAGTAAAATTCGAGCTCCTGAAATTAACCCACCTCCATACAATCGGAATACTTCGAACTCTGATCAAAGTCAGTCGCGTCAATCGACGCATATCCCAGATTTTAATAAAGTAGCGAAAAAGACTGTGAGCCCTTCGAAAATATCTTTCCTAAACGCATCAAATAATGAAAACAAAGTTCCGGTGCTAGGATACCAACCGAAATCCATTAGCAGTGCACCGCTGATTAAAGATTATGACAATTTAGTATCACAGCTAGAGACCCACATAACAAAAGAGGCTGTCCAAAAGCATTTGAGTAATTTGCATCACGCCACGTTTGCACCAATCACAGCCACGACAAAGTTCAAGCCGGGGAGTCTCCTTTACTGATGAAGGCACTTTGTAAATTTTTGTACTTGATTCTATTATTTCAAACATATTTGTATATAGGTACATTTTAAATTCTCAAGAAGCCCTTGAGGACATTTTTTACTCGGGATGCAATTCAAGTCGCATTAATTTTTTTGCAGGGATTCACATATGAATCATCCTTGACTTGATGTTCTTGGATATAAGTAAAAGTTTCGACAAGAATGAGTCATTGTTTTTTGGTTCGATAATGAGCATTGCCTCATGATTTCAATTATTCAGAACTTTAAATATATGGACATAATTTTCGAAAACAAAGAGAGAAGAATTTTTTTTTTTTTTTTCACTTTTTTATTTACTTTTATGTTAGGTAGTCAGGCAGGTGTGACCCTCTCAAGCAGGCAATAGCGCCGGTGCACTCTCATCTTTGAAAATTTAGAGAGGAACTTCACTTGAAGAAATTGAAGGGCAACGGGTCCTTTAAAGTGGAAAAGATAAGTAAAATGTGAACAATCATCGGAAAGATCTTGACAGAATACCGAAAGTTGAGCACAAATCTTTGATTGTCGCAGTTTTGAGCTGGGCTGTCAATATTTATTTTGTAAGGACCATGACAGCAGCGGATGATTATGATGAAGTTTACGAATTAAAGATTCGGACCTCTTCAGAAAATACGGGCGGGCCGCTACCACTAGGGTGGGCCAAAATGAAATTCCCTTGAAATTCTTTGCGGCTGGAGGTTTTATTTTATTAGGATGAAAATGATGGGCATTCATACAATTTGCATTAAAAATGTGTATACTCCTGAGGGTCCGAATTGAGCGTTTTTGCTTCTGTCTCCTCTAATCTCATCATTGCTCCGTTAATTTTACCTGTACTTTTTCATGAATCGAATACTTGCGTGACTCAACATTAAAGGCAGCTTCTCCCCTAAATTTAGCTCAATTAGAGCATTTTTTGAGGTTTGAAATTTATGGGATTTTCAAGAATTTAAATTGCTGGCTCTCAGAAGACTTACCTAAGTTTCCGCACCTGAAAAACTTGATCATGCTGAGCCATACGACGGATTGTTACGACAACAAAATGCGGAAATCACTTTTGGAGACTTTAACGCAGGGCAGTAAAGTGAACGTACCGACATATGCTAGTTGCTTGACGCATGAGGACCTTACTACTTAAAAATTTCCTGATGTTGAACCAAACCAGGGAGGTTTTCATATTTAAAGACGCACATTTGTTTTTTTCCTACCAATTTCTGCCCTTCTACTACTCTTTAACAACCCTTGAATTCATCAAGCACGGTGACATTGTCTCTTTCAATCAAATCATTCTGTTCGAAAATCGATGTTTCAAAACAAGAGTATACTGTCACCACTTTTAAATAAACGCCTTCAATTTTCACGCGAGTAGGCAATTTCTTGACCTAGAAGTACGTAAGTTTGTATCCATTTAGCCGTGTTGTTTCGTTAGATACACTAGGTAACATTTTTAGTATGAGCAAAAGCTATTAAGAAAATCAACATTTTCCGAGAGCTTGCAATTTTCAGCAATTTGAATTCTTAAATATTCTGATCCATTTCGGAATCTCAATAATTGCTGCAATTGAGCTTGATTTTGGGGGAAAGCCTCCATTAAAGTATTTTAATTGCTACGCAAATATTCCGATCATAAAAAATTACAAGGTAAAATTAACGAAAAAGTGGTGCAATTCGAGGCGACGACAATGAAGATGCTTCGTTCGAAACACCTCGGAAAATGGAAATCTTTTTATGCAGTTTGGACGAATGAACATAAATTTTACCCTAATAAATATATCCTACACCTGAAAAATTTCCCGAGAAATTGTTTTATTTCCGACCCGCACTGCAATAATTTAATGGTCACTCTATGAAAGAGTTCAGTATACACTTTTAAGAATCCATTGCTTGAAACTAGGCTTATATTTTGCATTTTTATATCTTTCTCCATGAAAAAATAAAATACTGTATGATAAAGGGTGAACATTATACATTAAACGACCATTTTAAACCATTTAAGTCGTTTGTATTTTTTAAATGTATTTGCTCAATTTTTATTTATAATCCGATTGAAATGACTGAAAATTGAATCTGTTAAGATTTCAATCGAATGCTATTGTTACTATAAAACAACTATACATTAAGTTTAAGTTTTAAACTGCAAGTATAAGCGCAGATTCTTTTCCGCTTTGAGGTATTCTTTAGTTTCTTTTGCCCTAATTGCGATCGGCTTTGCTAATAGTAGACAACCACCGTACCCGTAGCAACTCACTTGTTTGACACGCTTTAGTAGCTCCGCTTTATAATCTCTTCTTTTTCTTTGCTGTTTTTCTCCCTAACTTACTAACTTCTTATTCTTGAACTAATCTGCATGCATCTCAGTTGGAGAAAGCAAAATAGACAGTAGCTCCTGGCAAACTTGTTCTTCTGGTAACGGACTCTGCCCCTCTCCATTACCATCTACCCCTGGTTACATTCTACCGACTAACAAACCATCGACCTCAAACCCTGAAAACCTCAACCCTCTCTTCGCGTCCCTTCCTTCCGCAAGTAAAGTGCAACCCGGGACGAATTGCCTATCACCAGCTCCACTCCCATCAGTCCCTGGTTATGTGTCTCCAGACTTACGTGAGGCGATAAATCCAAATCCTCTTTTCTCATCGCTTCCGTCCGCGAGTAAAGTAAAACCAGGGACAAATTGTCTGTCTCCAGCCCCTCTACCGTCTGTCCCTGGTTACGTCTCACCAACCCCTCGAACTGTTGCTTCCACTCAACCAGCGATACCCAACGTGGCTAGCAAATCAACCATGTCGGTTGCATCATCACAAAACGTGAGGAAAGAGCAAACGACAGTGCAGAGTAGTCATTCTGAATCAACACAACAAAAATCTTTCGAAGAAATCTACGGTATACCAAGCGGTGTTAAGCAGTTGAAACCAATACCGCAAGCGAGATCTCAGTCACCATGTATGTGGTCTGGCAGCTCTCACGAAATTTCGTATTCCGGGGTAAACGCAGCAAAGACTTTGTCTTGCACACTTGAGACACAAATCATGCTAAAAACTATCAAAGAGACAGGTAGATGGTCACCAGTCCCACCAGTTGATCCTGCCCTTAGTCGTCAATTCCCAACAAATCTTTGTTTTACAAATTACGAAACGCAAGAGCCCAGTAACTATGTTCCTCCAAAAATTCAGACTGCCGTAGTACCTACGTTTTTACAAAAACCTACCCCTCCTCCACCAGTAATCAGTTTTCCACCCGATTTTGATCCAACTCCAGTCGTGAAAGAATACGTTCGGTCTCGAAGCTCGACGCCGGTGCCTCGATCTCATGAAATTGATGCAAAATCAGCCGATAGAGAAAGTAAACAGTTTTCCGTCGAGGGAGTAGCCGGTAAAAAATCAATGACCGAGGTGTCTAGCTCCGGGCAAAAGTCTGCAGAAAAACCTCTAGCTGTGGAGCCCATTTGTGAGAGGAAATACATTGCTCAAGTGAGCACATATAACAGGGATGTTTCTACCGAAAAATCAGCCCAGTTGGAGAAAGAGGCTCACGCTGCCAAATTTGACACTACGTTCCTCTCAGCATCCAAAGAAGAGCCTCCTGCAGATTTCCCACTCGGAGACCAATTGGTAAATCCTGACGGTTCGAGTTCGGTAACTCTTCCTCCCGATTCTGCCCCGTACTACCCGGATTCTATGCGCGATAAACCTGAGCCAAAAATTTTCCGCCCACAAACCCCACCGAGTGGATCGCCTTTGTGTTTTGCCTTGACGACTGCTCCCGCGAGGTCATACTCTCCTCTGCCGTCAGTTACAAAGCCTCCGACTCCTCCACCCGCGGATGCCTTGCCAGATTTCGAAACCGAGCTCCCGGTCATTCCAGGAGTTCGTCCGGTTTCGATGCTCGCTGCCCTGACGGTGGCATCAGAGAGACCATACTCTCCTGTTCTACCTAGCAATCCTACATTCCATTCGGTTTCCGCGAAAACCAAAGAAGAACAGAAAGAGGAGAAGAAAGAATCGTACATATCCACCCTGAAGAAAGACGTCTGGTCACCGAGAAGCCTCCTGGAGGTCACAGTGACGTCAGATGATGACAGCTATGACGTGGAGAAGTACGTCTCACAAAACCCAGAGATGAAAGGCAAGCAGTGCGTTAAACTCCCACGACATGCTAGTCCATCGCGGCTCTCTTTCACAAACAGCGGACTCCATAAACCGTCTACTATTCCTCCTTATCAGCAAACTCTTGGAGATGGCTCTTACACGCCAACTAGGTCACGTTCACCACAACCTCCTGCTGTAACTCCCAAAGCAACTGAGGGGAAATCCACCCAAGGAAAAGATTCCACCTCGGTAAAAGAGGTTTGTCGCAATACCCCCACCCCCAAGGGTGAAACTAAACCATTAAAATCGTGCGTTAAAACGTCTCACACTGAAACCGCCGCAAGCACAAAAGTCACATCCACTCAGAGTACGAGCGTAAGCGAATGTAAAAAGTCAGCCCAAGTTTGTTGCAAAAAGGTGACGATTGCAGATTCGCCCATAACCGGACCAACCGGAGGATCTTGTACAAGACCTTGCCAAAAAGAGGCTAGCTCCGATAAAACAGTGCAGAGCACATGCTCTCATGTATGCAATAGAGCTGAAAAGGTTTGCTGTAAAAAAGTGAATAAATCTGAGCAACCTTCTTGTGCATCACCTGTTGGCATCCCACCGACTGTCACTGTAGTTTGCGAGCCTGCTACTTGCGAGCGCTCCGCCTGCCAAACAACTAAAACTTGCGAGCGTTCTACACGCGCACAGTTGTTTGAGGAGCCAAAAGAAACCTTGTCGAAAACTTGCCCTTACTTCATCTCCGGGGCAGAGTCCACAGAAAAGGCGATTAGTGTCTCATCTTCATCGGCATCTGCTGAAAAAACCAAGCAAACTACTGTCGAAGGAAAATCTACTACTCAGACTCAGTGCAAACAGGTATGCTCTTTAAGCTCATCCGCGACATGCACAAAGAAAGTTCGTATCGAGGAACATTCTTCAAGTATATCTTCATCTGTTATTGGCTCGTCTGTCGAGTGCAAGGTTGCAGACGTTTGTTCAAGATCAACAAAAGCAGATGCTGGCACTGCTATGTGCTCTAGAACATGCTCGCAGTCTAAGGCTAGCTCAGTCTCGGACTCAGCGACAGGATCTTCTTCCTCTATCTGTCAAACCTCTTCGAGTAAGTCCTCACAAGTGACCACGACAGAATCGTCTCAGTCAAAACCATCACCCGTCACTTCCACAAAATTATCGCTTTCCACAGCTCACAGACTGTCACCTCTGGCAGTCGCCGACATCCCAACTGACGCTAATCAATCCACGTTCTGTAAAACTCCCTCTGGATCACAAATTTTCAAACCGCCGGTGAGCGCAAAACTCGCGGAGACTAAACAAAAATCGACATCGGAAACAACGTCCAAACAAGAAACGAAAACGTCTTGCTCATTGACGAAACAGTCCATATCGAAGACGGAGGTGAAGTCAATTCCTCTCACTGAGGCTGCTTCTTTAACTCCTTGCCCCCTCGTCACAGCAACCCCACCCTCCACTCCCACGACAGTTTCTCAGTCCCCCAACTCCGCATTTTCCTTGCCCCGAAAAACTAGTGGGTCCGTTGCCAGCTCTCTCTCTAAAACGCTATCTGCTAAAATTGCTGCTAGTAACCATTCCTCGAATACCATTTCCTCCTCTCAACCTGCAAGTATTCCTAATACCGGAGCGTCAACCCCTAATTCAGGTGCAGGTGCTACTAAGGGCGGAACTGCTGCTGGGCTAACGGCTCCTCGCAGAGGAAGAGGTGTACTCAACCCCCAAAATCTTACTCCTGGTGCTCGGGTGCCTCTTTGCGGCCAATGTCACGAACACATAAGGTACGGTTAAGCTTTGGTGGTATACACGCATGCTAGCACGTTTCACCCTGCTTTGGTAACTTTAGTTGTAAGTTTTGGTAGATGTAAGTATTTATAATAACAAAAAATTAAAATTATTAGATAAATTATCTGCATGTGTGACATTGAATAACACATTCTGGTTTATATGACCTGCTTTTTCATCGTAATCGCGAAGAGAATACTAATTGGACTGCATTTTGCAATTTGGAACTATAAATTCTGGCCCGGTTTAGAAACAACGTATGTGCCATTGGTTCCCCTATGCACATAAGTGTTTTTTTCAGATGAGCCAGAATCTATAGTTCCAGATTGCAAAATGCAGTCCAATTTAAGATCCTAATTTTCGATTTGAATCGAAACCTGTAATTTTGCTCATTTACAAAGGGTCAAAACATTATCCCGCTTTTGCTCTGCATCTAGTAACTTGTGTGCTTTTAATATTAACTTTCGGCCAAAAACATGTTTAACTTGGGGTGGGGGGGGATTAAGCACTGGCACTGAAAACAATCCACTGTTTATGGGAAATTAATGTTCCACGCCACTAACCTGAGTGAAATAGCCTATCTAATAGCTTAAATCCATGGAGAGGGAAAGAGTTTTTATATCCGAATGTTTATAGAGCTCCAATTTCTGTCCCTCAACATTTGTTCAAACCTCTTCATTCTTTGTAACGCTCCGTCGCAAAATTGGACGTATTTCTGCGAAACGGAACTATGTGCATGAAGACTTGAACCCTGAGACCCATAAAAATATATGTATAACAGGGCTCACGTCATAATGCACATAGTTCCGTTTGGCAGATATACGTCCAATTATGAAGATGCATCGACCCGCTACAGAGTTACATGATTCATGGATATCCCCTTCGGTATACTTTAGTCCAGAAAAAATTAGGAGCCCCATAATTCAACAGGCAGTCAGATTTTAACTACCTATCAAGTTTTAAGTAGTGATGTTTTGTTTGTTTTCAAATAATCGCATGCTTGTGTGACGTTTTTAGTTAGACTCGTCATTGCAGACGAGGTTGACCGCAGTTTGCGCAGCCCAACTAACGTCGAGAATAAAAACACAGAGAACATGACTAACCGCTGTCCACGCCGAGAGTGCTGTGTTTGTAATATTAACAAGTAAGTTTTCTTTTATTCTAACTGACTACATTATTTAATTGTGAACTATTGCCCTGGTAAAAATTGGCAGTAGAATCTGTGTTCCAAAATACCATAGACCTACAGCCGGCTGTAAGATTTCCAATAGCTTCTATAGCCGGCAACACAATTTCTTATAGCCTTTTATAGCCGATGGCGATGAAGCAACAGCCTGGCGATAAAGTATATGCTAAACGTTACTAATTACGGATGCTAGGACTTAGTGAGTTTTTGGAATACCGCTCTCTTTTTGGGCCGTAGTATCTTGATTTATTTTGCGCGGAAAGCTGCGTACTTTTGAAGGATGCCTGCCATTCCTAATATGTTGGAACGCCTTCAATTTCGTATGATACTGTGCAATACCTCTGATGTGAAATAGTTGCTTCAAGCGCCGTGGCACGCTGCGGTGCGGCAGGCGGGCAGCCAGCGCGAAACGCGCATTTGGCGCCTACAAACCTAACAGGGATACTTCACGCGTTGCGCAATGCGTGAAGTATCCCTGTTAGGTTTGTAGGCGCCAGTTCGTCGCCGCTCCGCTTTGTGTTAGGCTCTAATATTTAATCTGGTGGAGTCAGCGTTTTTCAACTCATGATTTTGAAATGTTTGCACATCCTGTATGGATTATTCTCGTTTTAATTGATGAAAAAAAAAAAATGTATTAAAGGAAAATATAACGTGTGTTTTGTAAATATTATGGTGATTCCGTACAAACTTAAGGATTTACAAAACACGCACGAATTTCTACACAATTTCTTATAGCCTTTCATAGGCGATGGCGAAAAAGCAACAGCCAGGCGATAAAGTGTAAAGCCCGGCGATAGGAACTATAGCCCGGCTGCATAATTTTTTATAGCTTCGTGCAGCCCCGCCGTATGATTTTTTTCCACTTTCTACAGCCAGCTATATGATTTTCTATCGCCTTCTTCAGTCGGCTGTAAGAACTCCTATGGCATTTTGAAACGCAGCTCCTATCGCCAATTTTTACCAGGGTGACTAGAAACTTTCTGCTGTATTTGTTTTTGTAAAATTTTCTGTATACCTACAGTATTTCCTTGGTGCGAAAAGAAGGAAACTATAACATACACAGATCGAAAAAAACATCATTGGGCACACTCATAAAATTTACTAGATTTATTTGGAATTACTTGAATGTACGAGTTACGCATTGAATAGTACATTTGTGTCTCGAATTTCCTCTCCTCTATTCTTTCCTTATACTCGACTCCATACTTACATTTTGTTTTTGCTGAAATCTCTGTTGAGTAAAAAATAAATTTAACTCAATTACTTCAGCGCCTTACTGGCGGAAAGACGAGCACCTGAAATTATAGGGAAATAATTAGGCCTAGTTCAGGTTACGAGATGTTTTTAAATGTGCTGCACAAGTAATTGATCGGAAAATTAGTCTAGTTTACGTCCAAACACCATAAAACTATGTGCAAAAGTTGGTTCTAAATGTAACGAGCATTCCTCTCCGAGAAAAAAAAGAATCCTTCCTCTGACCATCCTCGTAATAGATTCCAAATCAAACATACTTTTTTAGTTGTTACAATAATAATTTTTTGGTAACAAATAGGTCAGTTCCGATCCCAATAAGTAACAACGCTGCATTGTCATCAGGGCCGAAATTATTTTTACCTCAAAAGATATTTCGTGAACACGGCTAGAAAATTTAGTTGGATCTATAATCCACTGTGAGCATTGTAAGAACAAAGATTCCCTTTTCTCTCTGCTTAGCCTTACTAATAGCAACGTATTGTACATACAATTGCACAATATAGAACACCAATGATTAATTATTTCAAATAATTTTATAGAAATATCTATTTAATGGCGTTTCTGGGATTTTATTTTTTTTTTTGGATTTGCAGGGGCCCATTCATTACAGCCCTCGGAAAAATCTGGTGCCCTGATCATTTCATTTGCGTGAACAAGGACTGTCGACGACCTCTTCAAGATATTGGTTTTGTCGAAGAATCCTCTGGTCTCTACTGCGAATACTGTTTTGAGAAATATCTCGCTCCAACGTGCCATAAATGTTCAAACAAAATCAAAGGGGTAAGTTGAGGAATGACGAGATTTTCTTCAATTCCATACATTTTACCCAAAACAATAATTAAATCAGCTCAAATTTTTCGAAGGGGGGGGGGCTAAAATATGTTTGTGTGACATCTAAAAATCCATGTGATTTTTCTTCACTGTTAGAGTTTTCGATAAAATTGCCAACAAAGTACCCTCTACTCTAAGTGATGAAGATGAATCTTGCTTTTCACCTACATATACAACCCGAGAGCGGCCAGTAAGCTTTCAGTTAACATGTTGGTAGATGCGCGCAGGCGCATTGTGCGGTGTTTCGTTGGTGATACCGCTCTAGTGCAATTATTCGTGCTTAGTAGATGAGCATGTTGCATAATAATAATGTTTGCGTTCGCGCTCTAGTGCCCGCATTGTCCACGATGCAGCGCTATTACGATTTAAAATTAAAGTGTAGGTGCGCTCAGCGTAGTTTAGAAATGATTAAAAGTTGCATATCTGTCTGAGAACTGACTTCAAAACTCTTATGTCTGTTATATTTCATTGTGTAGCCAGAAGTCTTTTATTGATTTAATACCGCCACATAGAATAAAATTAACATGGATTTAATGATAAAAAAAACATGTTGAGCTGTACAAATTAAAAGGTCCGAACTTATTCAATGATAATTTTAATGATTGAGAACAATATGCACGAGGTAGCGAGTACTGTTCTCATGTTAAATCAGTGCATTTTTGCGCAAAATTGCTCAAAGATCTCAAACCCTTTCACATTTCCCTCGGGAGCATTTTAGAACATCGGCTCCCGCTGAAGGACGGTAATTTAAATTACAATTCAATTTTTTTTACAGGATCGAAAACTTGAAATGTGATTAAAATGTTTATTCCGTTTTTTCTACATGTGGTTTGAGGAGTTTAAGGTTTCCGTTGTGTAATGCATTTCATAATCAAATTTTATTTTGTCGTCTAGGATTGCCTGAACGCCATCGGGAAACACTTCCACCCTGAATGCTTCAAATGTGCATTTTGTAGCAAGCTATTTGGTAACAATCCGTTCTTCTTGGAGGAGGGACTTCCCTATTGTGAAAATGGTAAGTGTAAGATATACATACACTATATTCGTTCAGAAGAGCAAGAAATTAAAGGATCAATTAGATAGCTTTTTGACGGTGTCAGGAAAGTGCTTTTCCTCGAGCGTCGCGCATTCCTGTTCACTAAACACTTCGGTGGAAAAGGATCGATAAACAGGGTGTTCGCAGCGAACACCTTAATAATCGATTCTTTACCATAGGTTTAAATGGCAAATCAATGGATATATCGCAATTCACGCCACGCCACTGAAACACTTAGCAAAATATAGCAATATTCATGGATGGAAAATGAGATTACGAAAAAAAGGAATAAAAAAATGTTTAACAAAACTTTTTTAATGAAAACGAAAAAAACTGGCATTTCATAGAAGGGGCTCCTCTCATATGAATGCATCGGCGGAGTTCGACATTTTTTACGAGAGGCATGGAGTGAGACCTCATCAAGTGGGGCTGCGGAGTTAAACATTATACCTTACCAAAAGGGATGGACCCCACACCCGACGGTGTACTAGCAGGAGAGGGGTGGGGCGGGTCCCTCACAATGGCGTGACTTCCTTTGCGCTGCATCGATTGCTCTTTCATTTAAACCTATGGAAAAGGATCGATAACCTCGATAAGGATTATCAAGGTGTTCGTTTCGAACACCTTGATAATCTATTCTTTACCACAGCTTCAAATGGGGAGTTATCGATAGTCCATCACTCACGCCTCACCACCGGTCTCTCAATAAAGTGTTGAAAATTAAAATTTCGAAGCTCACAGAAATGTCACGCAATTATTTTGCAAATTGCAAAATGCTTTAAAGAGGATAACGTGAAATTCTGCGTGGCTCCTATGCCTATGCCTATGCGTGTAACCTATGCCTTTTTATCAATGTGTTTTTTCGTCCACCAGTGTAAAATTTGACATTTATGAGGGTATATATTTTCTCTTTCAGACTGGAACGAGCTGTTTACGACTAAGTGCTTTGCTTGCGGATTCCCTATTGAAGCTGGTGATCGCTGGGTAGAGGCTTTAAATAACAACTATCACAGCCCGTGCTTCAACTGTACGGTGAGTTGATTTTTTTTAGTGATTCGGCTAATCTCTGCTGGCAATCTCAATGCTCATTCTTACCAGTGAGCCTTCAATACTAAAGTAGGCAATGTGAGCGGCTCAGGAGCAGTAATAGTTGCTTGCAGTGACATAGCTACGTTCATCCGCATTGAAGATTGTATCAAATGCACCAATTCAAACTCATACTAACCAGTTCGCCTTCAATACTAAAGTAGGCAATGTGAGCGGCTTCAGAGCAGTATTAGTTGCTTACAGTGATGTGGTCACGTTCATGTATTTTAAAATAAAAATGTCAAAATGATGTGACATTTTGAGGTATGAGGAAATTTTTTTTGTAGGTTCCATTGAAAATCACATTATTCATCTACTTTTAGAGAGTTTTCTAAGTTTGAACTGTGATGTGAAAAATGTTTTTCTCTGAAATTGGTAAATGTTCAACTTTGTGCACATTTTTAGGAAGATTCTCTGGTTAGAGATACGGTATACCGACATATAATGTTTTATTTAATGGTGCGGCACCAATGAATTTTGATAAAAGCTCATACAAAATGGAATGTTTATTATGATTTCTTTAAAATTAAGCCGCATAGCTTAGTGGCTTTAAGTAGAATATGTATCATTATCCTTTTGTAAATATATTTTTGACAAAGATGTTCGAAGTATTAGTTTAAAATTCATGAACTGTTATAAAACTGGTTGATTAAATCTACTTTGGTTTGTTTTCAGATGTGCAAAAAGAATCTGGAAGGTGAGAGTTTCTACGCGAAAGGAGGCAGACCTTACTGCAAGAGTCATGCGCGTTGAACAGAATGAACGCTTATTTGTTTAAGTGTTTTCTTTTCTTGCTTCTCTCTATGCTGATTGCTGATACCAACTTTACCATTGCTTGTGATATTGGTGACTTTCGAGACGGCTCATACTGAGGCGAGTATAAGATATGTTGTACTTTAATGTTCAGAGGCAGGATTTACTTTTGTTTTTTTAAATAATTCTCATACCGAGGAATTGTAAGTTCTGCTATTTGAGCTTTAAGACCAGAGATGGTATCGGCACAAAGTGGCATTGACCATTGTGTACATAGCTAACATATACCATAGGGTTGTTTTTGTAATTTTAAGAAATCTTACCTCCGTCTTTTATTTTCCTCAGCTGTGAGACCGTAATAAAGAAAGATGAGTAGATTCACTGAGTCATAGTGCAGATCCATTCGTGAACCGAATTTAGAGATCATTTTGCGCTAACTCCCTACCCAATTGTTGCAAAGCATAAATCGTGTTGTCGTTTTGTGTTTGTCTCTCAGTTGCTTCGAAAAGTCTCTAGGTCAAAATTTAAAAAAAAAGTAGGTATCATGCTTCAGTTTAGTGACGCTTTTCTCGTTTCTTCCTTCAGTGTTTTCCGTTGAATTAGGATTAAAATTTTGAAAAGGAAAAGGAAAACCAACTCTACCTCAATTTCCACACAAACGTAATAATGATTTTTCCCCGACTCGTTTGAAATATCAAATTTTTCTACATCTAAAAAATCTTCATGGGTAAAATGTGAAAATACATATTTTACCCTTATACTCACTTTCTTCATTTGAGAAAAAAGAGGTTCTCAGTCTAGTTAATTCTAATTTTTTCAGCGGTGCACTGATTTTTTTATACTTTCTACCTTTTATCTTCTTTGTCTTCTAGTCTTATTCTATAACCAAATTGTTAAATTATTCAATGTAATTTAGGAAAATTTTATCCTCAACTATGTGTTTAAATGAAAATTAGCAGCGCGGAAAAGCTAAGTTTCCCAGTTCTCTTACTTGCTTTTCCTCCGAGTTGATTAGAATTTGGAATAAAAAATAATGATTGTGTAAATTCCATGTCGAGCATTAGCTCTTTTATTTTCATATCTGAACTGCAATGATTCTGAAACCATCAGTCATGTAGTTCAAAAACCTGTCCCTTGTTTTTCAGCAAATCAATTAAATAATAAATCTGTCATCTAATTCCTTAACTGGCTCCTCTGAGAGCTAGAATAACTGTAAAGAGTTTTGCTTGGTCACGGTGGCAATGCTAAAAAGGAACTGCGATGCTTACAAGTTGGCAACACGGCTTTGTCTCCCTTTAAATCCATTAAAAATATCAATTCTAGGTTCGGCACTCTGCTTCGTCGCAAATTAATTGTTTTAAATACATTATTTTAACGGAGGAATAACAGTGTTGTCAAATTGCAAGTATCACTACTGTCTGTGGCATTTCTGAAAAGGAAAAAAATACACACATAATGGGTGAAGTCTTTATAAGAATACAACTTGGCGAGTCAGTACAACAAATCAAATTATGAGGGAGCGATTTTCCTCTAAAATTAAAGACGATGCTAAGTTGGCCACAAGCTACATTAAAATCAATAAATTCAAAATCGTGTTGTTCTCCTGACTGAGCAATCTGAACTTGACACCCTTAATTTTTAAGGAAAGGTAGTGTACAATATACATTAAAAATATTTTAAATTGACGGGTGTTGAAGTCCAGCAGAATTATAAAAAAGTGGATCTAGGTACTCTGGTAACAGAGTCCCTATATACCTACAACTTGAAGAAACGAGGAGAGAAAAATATTGTCCGGTCAGTTTGAGTAACACGGTTTTGAATTATGACAATGCTTTTATATGCGCTTGCAGATGAAACTCGCTGTAATACCAAACATTTGTTTGTGTATTACCTAATCTAGGTATATTAATAAGTAAAGAATTTTTTAAACCAATTCGGATTATTGTTATAATTATGTTGATATTTTATTTTCTGTATTTATTGTTACGTGTAAACTATTATACTTACCTTTATAATAAATTATACATACATTTAAATATATACTTTTCCTGCTTTGAGTCTCTTCGATCAATGATTGCTTAAGAGGACACTTGCGAATCTCCGACTTTTACTGCTTTTAAGATGATTTCTAAATTGCAGAAGAATAATTTTGAAAATATCACAGAATTTTCTTTGTGTTACCGATAAAATTCAGTGGAATTGTCAAACAGATTTAATCGACAATTTCCCTGTAAAAAAAAAGCGGAGGAAATTTTTAACGTCGCATGGCGCCTGTGATACTATGGCCAGAAGGTGACGATATTAGAAAAAATTTTCTGCCTCTTTGCCTGAAATGAATCTCAATTTAAAAACGTATTTTACACCTCACCAGCGAGCTAAACGAATTTTTCGCAAAATCTGAGTGCACGGAAGACCCATCTAGCATTTTGAGTCAGTAAGGCCCCCCATCTCGCCTAGTGCCGTTGCCACAAAATGTCAAAAAAAAGAAAGAATATCTTTGTCTACAAATTTTAAGTTTGAGGAGAAAATAACTTTCATCTGCGCCATTACGTGACAACTGCGTTTTGGAAGCGCGCGCCTGGCACCTGCTCGCTAAATAAACTGCATATTTGCTCTTTCGGCCCATCCCGGGCTATCAAACAGCCTGTCAGGGGCTCGGTTATAGTTCTTTCGCATTTGCTCACGTAACCGAAACCGGAGATCCGAAGGACCTGTGTAAAGGACCATCCGCATTATTCGGGGAGCGATGGCCTCTGAACTGTCCATTATGAACAAGGATAATATTCGGAGGAGAGGTCTGCTTGAAGGCATCATCAAAGCCATAGACAATATATTTCGAAGGAACGTGGTAAAATAGTGTTGGGTCCACACTATCTTGCGGAGAAAACAAGGCCAAAAAGTTTGAAAATTTCAATTGGAGTCATCATTTTGAGTTTTAATAAAATAAATAAATATAATTGTTCTCATATTTCGTAAATCTAACATAAAAAACGACATTTTCTGGACGAAAGAACGCAACTCCCTTTCAATGTTGTCAATTTCCACTCGTAGATTTTAATTTTACAAGAATATTTTAGCGCTTTTCTAACTGAAAATTTCATTGATTTTTCTACTGATCACACATCAAATTCAGCAAAATTTTTGACAGAAATCGCGCGGTCAAATAATTTTAAAAAATTAATCGGTTATTACTTTATTTTTTTAATAGTTCGGTCCGACGGAGAAAAATATATAATTGAGAATTTTGGTTGAATTATCATAATTGATGACACATTTCAAAATCACGAAAATCAATTGCAAATTAAATGGAGTGACGACGACAAAAAGAGGGCGGTAGTCGAAAAACTTACTTGGTCCTAGTACCTGTATTCAATAACATTTAGCGTGATTTTTGAACTTTCTTAGAGGAAAAAGTGACTTGGTTCAAGCAGGAATACACTTAAATTTACCGCCGAGATGATTTCCTTTTGAATCGATGAAGAGAATAATGTTTGTTTCAAGAAGAAAAGATGTTGATGTAAAACGAAAAGTCACTAAATCAAAGAGAACCCCGCTTTCATTCAGCTATTTTATTCTCGATTCAAAATAAAATCCTCTTGACGGCATACTCAAGAATGTTTCTGCCTAAATTGAGTCCCTTTTCCCTCTGATGAAATTCACAAATTATGCTAAATCTCAATACGGATGCTAGAACTTAGTGAGTTTTTGGACTACCGCTCTCTTTTTGTGCCATAGTATCTTGATTTATTTGTCGAGGAAAGCTCCGTACTCTTAAAGAATGCCTGTCATTCTTCATATGTTGGAGAGCCTTCAATTTCGTATGATACTGTGCACCACCTCTGTTGCGAAATAGTTGCTTAAAGCGCCGCAGCGCGGCGGGCGAGGGCGACCAGCGCATTGGCTCCTACAAATCTAACAGGGATACTTCACGCATTGCGTAATGCGTGAAGTATCCCTGTTAGGTTTGTAGGCGCCGGTGCGCGACCAGGCACCACGCCGCGCCGCTCCGCTCTGCGTTTGGCTCTAATATTTAAACTGGCGGAGTCAGCGTTTTTCAACTCAGGATTTTGAAATGTGGGACTTTGGGACTCAGGATTTTGAAAAATGGGCTAAAATATCGCACTTGGACCAAGTCACTGTTTCTTATTTAACGCGTGGACGCTAACTACCGGACCAAACGGGCGCACGGACAAAAAATCGTCGACGGAATGTACTGAAACCTGCAGAAGCGGCAAAACTCAATTTTAATTGCTTTGAAATGGTTTATATGTTTGGTCATTTTTTTTATACATTCAGCGTCAGAAGGCTAGTGGCTCAGTTATCTCATTCTGATGTTTTTCCTGCTAAGGACACTTTGCCTGACTCCATCACATTAGAATTTTGAATAGGGTTTAAAGGACCATCAACAATACCCTTTGAGTATGTCATGATGGCTCCAACACTCATAAGTATCCACACACTGGATGCTGAGGTGGATCATGATTTCAGAGTAGGTGGAAGAACAAAGGTATCAAAATAGGTAGAAGAAGAACAGAGGCTGAAGGTATTCTACGATAAATTCGTTGAGCTATCGTAGACCAACGAAATAATCACTACATTATACAACAATACTGATGGTCTCAATTTTTATTAGTTATTCAAACAATAATACGTATACTAGCGATTGACTTCGTTCCATAAAAAGAAAGGCTGCAGCTATCTCATGACCCTCAAATATTTAATTAGATTCCCTCTCAAAATGTGCACTTCGAGGATATACTGGATGCACGCATGGATTCTGAGGGCGTGAAATTGTGCCCGGGTCATCCTGCATTCACTCGCTCGATGATGATTCATTGCCCAACGCCACGCCGCACAGTGGGTCGAGTCAATTAGAGAGGTCAGACACGAAATTTTGGACTAAAACTGGAAATTTTTATGTTTATTTCATCACATTTTAAATTTCAAGAGGTGCTCACAGTAGGAAATTTTACGAGGAAATCAATGGAACACTTTTAGAAGTTTTGTATAAACGAGTTCGTAAGCGTTTAAAGTTTCCAAATTTTATTCGACCTTTCTTATTGACTCGATCCACTGTGCGCCGGCGCCGTTTCCCGCCGAATACCTCTGAACCATGATTCCGTGATAAATGCGATGGTTCCAGAAGGTGAAGTAATTTTCTGACTATATTCAAAATATTGACTGTAAATTTATTACATGACAGTGAGGGAAGAAAAACAATTGAATTTACTTCTCTCATCTAAATAGGCTAGCAACTTATCCGTTATTAAATATTATGGCCAGTACCAAAATAAATCTACGGCAAGTCACGCAAATGAGGTTTTTTTGCCAACAAAACTTAAGAATGTACATTTATTAATTGCAAGTGCGGAAGTATCATGTACACTAAATCAATATTTTTCTTTAGGGAAGAATTGATACCACGAATTATTGTCACTAATTCCTTGATCAATATAACGTCACTTTCCGGCCAAAGTATCACAAGCGCCATTTTTACCGAAATTGAGTGATGAATAGTTTCGAAATAAGTACGAGATGCATTTACATACGAAAATAATAATTTTTTTACAGAAAAAAATTGTAAAAATATGAATAAATATAGATTAGAGTCGATGTACTTTCGTATCACAAGCGCCGTTTGGGAGAGAAATACTGCCAGCGCCGAGTTCGGCAACCGCCCACCTTTCTGATTGTCAGGGCCGGATTTAGGGGTAGCCACATAGGCCGCGGCCCATGGCTGCAAATTTAGGAGGCGGCAAATTTTGCAATTTGTTTTAAAGAATTACATTTAATGTGGGTATAAAAAAAATCGGATTCAGAAAAAAAATTACAAACGAAAAAAAGCCGAAAAATTGCTCATTCTCCTGAGAATATGGTAATTTCTAATTTTGTCATCTTTCGGTGATAAAAGAGAGCAATAAAATTAGTCGAGTTAAGAGAGAAACCAAACTTGCAATTTGGCCTGGAGCGGTGCGGCGCAGAGAGCAATAATGACGAGAACTTAAGATGAAAAGGAGAAGCTCTCGACGTGGAGGTCGGCATGTAACACATACTAGCGCCTACGAGACTGCATGAATACTTCACGCATTGCGTCAAACACAGTGCGTTCAGCGGCGCAACGTTTGGCGTGAAACGCATAGCGCCTACAAGACTGCAGGAATACTTCACGCATTGCGCCAAACCAAGTGCGTTCAGCGCGGCGCGGCAGTGGAAGTTAAAATTATTAAACCACATTTATGTTTTTCTCTCATAATTTTTTCGTTCATTTCTTATAAATGAAAGGCCTCGTCCACTCAGAGATAGGTTTACGGAACTTAACTTTCGCGCGAAGTTCCGTGAACTTTTGCTGGTAGTGTTGACAGGGCTTTCGCAAAAAATGTGTCCAACACGAGTAAACGCTTCTTATGCACCGCTCCCCCTCCGGCACGTTCACTTGGTGGTTCCCATTGATGTTTCAAAACGATTGAGGAGGGGGCGGCAAAATACAGGTGGCCCATGGGCGGCAAGTAGGTAAATCCGGCCCTCTGCTGATTGTTTGCAAGTTTTGTCACAGCGAACCTCGGAATGACTTAAAGCTAAACTATTTCTGCATTTAAATGCATCTCGTTATTTCGAACATAAGATTTTTTTTTAGAATAAAAAATTAAATACATATGGAAAATATTCCATTGAAGTTGATGAACTTTTGCATCACAAGCGCTCCGAAAAAACTATCGGAAAAAACTCCGATAAATTTGATGAGATTCCGAATCACAAGCGCCATGGGTTCTCAGAATGCCCCGAGGACACGGTATCACAAGCGCCAATTTCCAAAGAAACAAATGTTTTTCTAAAGAAATTTCATTGGAGTTCAAGGCAGGAAAGTGTTGTGCTGGATCGGTATTCCAAGTATCAAGCCGAAACTCCGATCGAATGTGATCGCAAATCAGTTTTTCGTGTCTCTTGAAAAGTTGGCAAAAATGCGCCTCTGATAAGGTAGCCCGAAGGTGACGATAATTTCAGCCGGCGAAAAATAAAGATTATTGAAATGCTTTTGCTATGTTGTTCTAAAAAATTGGCTCCGGCAAAGTCATACACATCTGACTTTTTTTTTTTTTAAGAAAAACAAATATCTCAACTGGATATACCTAACATCCCTGTTAAGTTTTTAACATTTCTGAGGTTAAAAACTCGCGCGTCCATTCAAACCATGTATTATTATCCTGCAATTATGGCCACATCCAGCTGTTACCTGAAAGCTTCTGCGCCTATAACTGGGAGTTGAGAGTATTGCAAGACTTTTGTTAAGGATAAATGATATTGAAATCAATATGGCACGCCAAATTCGTATTTTAATTTCAATTTATTTGATCTATTGACTTACAATTTTTAAATTATTTACATTTGACTCTCAATAGTTTACACAGTCTAAAAATTTGGTCACTGATTTTGGAAAAGAATAAAAATAAATTAAGGAAATAAAACTAAAACAGTAGGAGTAAAAATTGTTAAAATTATGTGTGTTTTGAGAAATGAGGAATCGGAAAGTAGTGAAAGAGAATTAGGTGAATAACGAGTATGTTTCCAAAAATATAAATTCCAATGTGGTAAAATAATGGACTTTCATTATATTGCCCAAAATAGGATAGGGTCTACCTCGTGTGTGAAGGCTTCTTCGCTACTCGAGGGAGTAGAGTTTATTTCGGTAAGAGGAATACGATAGGATTTTAAACGCGTGGATAGAGCCGAACGCTTTACTAAGGTAATTATTTGGCAAAATACTTAAAATTAGAAAACTAGATAGAATATATAGGTAAACCTCCTCAATTAGGTAATGATTGAATGCCGCATGAAAGGAAGCCTCTTTAAAATATCAGAAACTTAATTCATAATCTTTTACATTTAATTATTGGTCGTTCACTGAAGATGAATGGTTAAAACTGAGTCTAAGCTCTCTCAAGACTGCATGGTGGAATCGTAGACGAAGAAAAGGTATGGTCTCCTTCACTTAATGTAAGGAAGCGCGATTTCACTCCGTTATCAGATGCAAATTCTATTCGAAAAGATATGGAATTCTTTCTAATCGGCCCATCATTTTTAGGAAAAGACCCATCAAACTTTTTTCCCTGAAATATAATTACCTTTGGTATGGTCTCATAAATTCATCACTCCTATTCCGACATGAGCATTTAATGTCAGCATTCCATACCCTTTCGCCCTTCAACGAACACCAAAAGTGCAGTGAAATTTCAATAGATATTACTTAGCAATATGTATACTTGTAACTACCCTCCTAATATAGGAAGGCTGCGTTATACTTCCTGTCAAAAAATCATACAAACAAATTCTTAGTATATACTACGTTTAACCTGAGCCTGATTATAAATACGTTACCGGCAAACCTAGATTTTCCTGAAAATCGGGGTTCGCCGGCAACAAATGCAATAAATGGAATCGTCCACCTGTCTGTGCCACAAGTTGCAAAATATTTCACCAATCTGAGAAATCAATTTTACGACTTAAAGTAGAAAATAAGTACAGCCGTGTTTTTTGCTGAAGACTGTTGAAACACTTACTTCCTGATTTCGTAGTGAGTTAATCGTGATTTAATATTCCATTTGTATGGCACAGTCTGGTAGATTTCTGTTCCCTGAAGTTAGGTACTGTCATTTTTTTTTTGAAAATTATGTCCCTCCGGGTTTAAAGCTCTTGCTTTGAGTATTGATTTTTTAAATGCGAATAGGAGTTATTTTACGAATGTATGTACAAACAGAATCTAATAAAAATGGCAATCCTCTTGCCTACCTCTGGTAAATTCTTATTTTGGAAGGCAATTCTAACATTTCTGCGTGTCCAGAAATGTTAAGAGTGCTCCGACGACATTGATTATATTTGACCCAAAGAGTGAAGATAGCTTCATGAGCAGTATTGCTGTTTTAAGTGATGAGCTGTATATTTCTGGTATAAAATCAACATGCTCCGAGGATAGATAGCAATTCTGCTCATAAGCTTTTCAGCAGATAATGAACAAGAGTGTATATTGGTATGAGAGATATACTCCATTCTAATCAACCCTGGTCAGTCTTGGGGAGGATATTAGGAGGACTTTCATCGCCCCTGAGCCACTTAATATCGGAGTCTTCCTATTTGCGTGCAAAATTATACTACAGATGCAGAACGGTACGTTTGAACTTAAAATAAAAATGGATTTAAGTATAAAATTTTTTCATGTTTTGTCCACTTCTGAAGTTCTAATCGTACGATAGAATCGGAGAAAAAAATTAGGTTGAAAATGTTTCTTACGAGGACTTTTACTTGATGTCATTTTCAGCTGTCGTTTAGTTGTAACGACACAAACCCCGCAAAGATTTTTTTCGGGACAGGTGAAAGCATGAATACTCACCATGTTTCACCAAAAAACGGACACTGAAAAAATCGTCCTTGATTTGAAACAAATCGTTTGGTTTTAAAATTTTTTTCTTAGCGCTAAAAAAATTGTTTAAAGCCAAAAAAATTGTTTAAAGCCAAAAAATGTCTTTAAAATAAAGACAAGTTTCGCAAATTGAAATCGTGTTTTTTCACCATTTTTTCAGTGTAATTTTTACGAATTTTTACTATTCAGTGGCTGAAAGAGCTCGTTTCTCGAAAGAAAGCCTCACCGATCGTACCGTTCTGCTAACTGTGAGACTCTACCACGCTGGTTGTTGGTAATTGTTACTTCCTAGCGACCCGCCGATGGGTCCATAGTTATTACTATTGTGCGGACTTCCCGAGACAGACGAGTACCCAACAGCTTGCGGCTGCTCGTAGTATTGGACGGAGTGGGCGGCAGGCGCGGAGGCGCCCCAAGACTGGGCGCCGTAGTTGGACGCGGGCGGTGCAGGATCTTGGGCGCCAGGCACAGGGTAGCTGTATCCATCCTCGTGGGCGGGGGCGGCAGTGCTCGAGTAAGTGTAGCTACCGCTGTGAGCAGGAGCAGCGCTGGCACTAGGGTAGCTGGGGTAGGCGTAGCCGCCGGGAGGCGCCACTACGGCGGGCGCGATGCTCGGGTAGTAGGATGGCACGGGTTTGGGAGTTGCCGAAGAAGAGCCGGAAGACTGGCCGAGGAGGGCGGTGGCGCCGGCACCGAGGGCGACTCCTGCGGGAAGGGCGGCCTTTGCCTTGAGCGCTTTGCCGGCTGACGCTGCTCCTATGGCGAGGATTGGGCCTTTGATCAGTGCTTTTGCCAGCAGCAACTTCTTCAGCTTCTTCTTGATGAAGAAGCCATCGCTGAGGGCTGTGAGAGCCGCGATCAGACACAGGGCCTGCGAACAGTAAGACGTATTATTAGAGAGTTTTTGAAAGTGGGGACGAGTAACCGAAAAATCTCATTTCATTGGATACCAGTAGATGTTTTAACTGAGAGGGTTGTTGTTTCCTGAAGGTAAGAATATTTAGAGGCTACACAAAGCATCCGTTTTCGCTCAAGCATGAAAATGAGGGCGAATATACATCTTCATAACACAGAACTTGGCTCTGATTCGAAAATGTGCGTGGTTCATTATTATTTGAAGATTAATTAAGCAAAAAACAAGATGAATTTATAGTGGCACATTCGGGTGCTCTGTGACATCTAACTCCAACTCATATGTATCATAGTTGTCAGGTAGTACTGAGAAATCAGTGTAAACCCTATGTAAAATGTCTACATCCAATTGCACAGTCTAGCAACTTTTATATGCATTCATAGGCGAATCCGTTCGTTCGGGAAAAGTAGGGAGGAAAAGGGAACAAAGAAAGAAGGAAGAAACGGTGGAAAGATGAGGGAAGAACGCTTATACTTTAAACTCTTAAAAATTTTCTGGGGGAGCCCCCGAAAAATCCGCCCCCCCCCTCCTATTCAAAGTATCTAGATCCGCCTATATATGTAAGCATTCAATTAAAAAAGCTTTGAGGAAAGACCATCCGGAGTCAGGGACTTTAAGGAAAAGAGAAAACGATTTAAAAAGAAACGACAAACGAAAAATGAATGAGGGGACCGAAGTTTTATAATTTAAGTGCATACAAGATGTTCAGCAAAATTTTTCCTGCTTCTTAATTTTTCAACGGTTTGATACTTCCAAAAATACGAGCGCTCATTTCTTCATTTTAAATACGATAAAACTTATGATTGATGTTCTCTTCCGAGAGTATGGACTTTTTTTTGGATGCGCAGATGAAAAAAAGTGCTATGCGCTCTGGTTTATTGCACAAAATAATTACCCGATTATTCAATCCTTTCATTCCTCGCATGGTGCAATTCTGAATAATACACAAGAACCTTAAAATAAAGAGTTGCATTAAATCTAATTAAGCCACCAAAAATGTGAATGTAATCTTCTTCTTCTTTTTTCAAGTATAAATCAAACGAGGCAGTGCAATGAAGGGGTAACGTTGACGCCAGTCAGTACACTCAAAAGTGGAGAGAGTAACGAGAAAGTTGCATAATCCACACCGAAAATATTGAAGAGGTCGCAGGCCGTGCTGAGTAAGAACCCTGTAAGAGCCATCAGATGTTGCCAAATTCCCCTCGACAAAACACGAATTTTCAGTAAAATTTGTGAATATTTCTCTTTAAATTTTTTGGAGGATTTCTATTCGTTCGTCCTTTAATCTAAAAATTTTGAAAGTTTCAAGGAATGATATTTATAACTTTTTCCATAATAAATATTTTCAAATGAGAAATTTGGCAACATTCGAGTGCTTATACGTCGTTTTTCTAAGAACGGAAGAATTAGCAACCGCCGGAAGCTTGCAAGCCACTGGTGAACGTGCACAAAATTCAGAAATAGGGGAACAACATTGGTGTACATGATTATTTTGCCTCATATGTGAAATAAATAGACCATTTTTCACACGAACGCGATCGTAACAGACACACTTAGGAAAGTGTGACAAGACACACTAGCGGTGCAATCCGTGACCCTAGTTAAGTTTGGATCGGACATGCAACTAAACTAACTCCGTGACAAAGCGTGGAGTATCACAAAAAATGAAGGCGCTCCAAGCCTGGACCGCACTTTGCAAAAGCATTAACTATCGGTCCCTCATTAAACCTTTGCATATTATTTAGATTTATCAAAATAACATGTACGGTAAACCGCTTGCAAATTGTCGGCGATTGCTAAACTACCTGGGACATATTATATAACTTCAAAATGTGCGATAGTATTTTAAGTTGTGCAGAACTGATAGAACCATTCACAAAATTATGGTTCAACACTATCTTTTCGTTTTCAGATCCTTGAACCATGATATTTTCATATCCCGACGGGTGCTATGCATTGCACCAGTTTTGAAAAATATTTACAAGAGTATTTTTCATTGGAGTTGAAATACCAAAAGATCAGATTAGGTATGCAATTTCGTCCGATACGAATCCGTCCTCTCTGCTTAAATTGTGTCTCTGTGAATGAGGTTTTAAAGTTGTATAAATTAATTAGGAGGCAAGCCCCTTGATCACTTTGCAGTCCAACCCCCCGAAGTATTTCGCGCCTTAAGTATAACTCTTATGATGTTTTATTATAGAGTAATTCATAAAGATACTTGTAGCTTGAGATGTCCAAAATCTCATCGATTTCTTTTCAAATTTTATGTAAGCATAGTTGCAGTTAAAATTCTTACTTCCAATCAACCAAAAGTCATAATGTTTGTCCTTCACACACCTAAAATTTTGTCCTCAGTTGTTGTTGTGTCATGAAATCAATGAAAGCAACTAAAATAGTCTTTTTTCCGAGATTATTTCAAGGAAACGAGACAATGTCACGATCGGTGAATGGACGGGAAAAGCAAAGGATCAGTCGTTTTTATTTTTTGTTTGTTTCCGTTTGTCCAAAATTCGGTCGTCAGTGTGGAATAAAAATTGGGTTACTATCTTCTCAGAAGGCCGCGAATAACCTGCGGACCTTAACGGCGACTTGAGCGAAATAGCTCCTTTCTTTCATAGTTGCCGAACTTAACTTTGATATTGAATGGCTTCATTAATCATACGTTTTTTAAATAAAAAAAATTGGACAGTTTCGAGCAGATTTGACAACAAATATTGAACACCCTGTTTGGAAACGTGTTTATTTTATGATCGTGGGTGAGTATCAGCCACTCGCTACTTAATAAACCGGCTATGATCAAAGCCTGCCTGGTTGTGTCTGCCTCAGTTAATTATAATGCTCTAATAAGTACTCGTAATTGAACACACGTACTCACGTATAGGGCTGAATAAATTCCATGTCTTTATACTTTCATACGATTAGGTGCACTCCTCCCCCTCCCAATATACCTAGAAGTTTCTTTCAGTAAAATTACCCCTTCAATAAATGCAATAGTAAGTTCTATGATACTGCATGAAAATTCAAATATTTTCGTGCAGGCTCGATCTAGACATTTTCTGTGAGTGTGAACTAAATTAGACAACATTGAATAACAGATGATTACCAAGCAGGCGGCAGGAGCGCTTTGCACAAAAAATTCTCACAAAAAGTGCATTCTTACATATCTGCGAGGTGCTAGACACTTCGCCGCGCCGGCCTGGTTATGTAATACAGAAAACGCCGCGCCGGTCGCACTATTTACAAGTCAGACATTGAGTACATACAATTATAGGTGAGAACCAAAATTTGTCCATTTGTGGTGTTCTCTGTAATGATTTTATTCACTATAATTATTTCTGCATAATATGAAAATGTATCATTACGTGACCTACGATTTCAAAAGATTAAAGATCACATGGGTAAACCTACCACTTACCTACAGCGGGCAAATTTTGTTTGTTTTTATTATTTATTTGTCTTTTTTTTCGTGTGTCCTTTCTTGTAAATATATTCTCATGCCATGGAAGATGCAATGGAAAATTTGCACGCACATTTTTTATTGCTTCATCTATGAGAGTGCTTAAGGAGCTGATTTCGCAGTATTATATGTAATTTTTTTTGTAATGGGAAATAGTCTAGAAATTGATTTAAAAGTGAGAAAATGCACTGCCTAGTGGCGTTATCTGGCGGCATTCCCCATTGAAACTCATGTAAGTATTTTAGCAGATTAGATCCTTTTGTCATACCTCCCCCACGATAATTTTGTTTAATTTGTGAACCAATGGTATCCTCGCGTTCAGTTCATTCAGTAGTTTCCACTTACACACGAAATTCATCAAGTTTCAGACACCTGCAAATTCTCCATTGATAAGAAACAAAAAGACGGAAGCAACTAAAGCGTGCTTATTAATGGGAGCAAGATTTTAATTGAGTTTACGCCTTAATCCACTTCACTGCCACGCTGATTTGATGGTCCCACCAGAAATAAATCAATAATACGTTATTGTGAATGGAAAACGTTTCTAGTGGGCAAGTTTAATTAATTTGCACGGATAAATAAGTAGACAGCCATGAGTCAGCAGTCAGCTGCACCGAAATTTTTAGGCACGTGAAATTTGCAATTTAAAATGGTCGGAGATACGAGAAAAATTACTTTTTCGGGACTTTTTTAAGTTCAACCCTACCGCTAATTAAATGGCACAACCCCCGCACCCTTAGAATCCTTCTTCGTGGTAATAAAATAACCTACTTCATAATTCGAAAAAGTTTATAAACAGATCTTAAGATTATTACCTACTGCCTACGGCTGTAAAATCATGGAAATGGACTCAGTAGATGTACTTAGACAAAAAATAACATTTAAAAAGTCAGAGAGCTTGATGTTATGATGATATTTTAAATCTGTTTTAGAGGGCGGTCATCAGCCAAAAATGACGCAAGCTTTACAGCGAGTAAAATCGGCAAAGCGGTGGACTGGTGGAGGGTTCCTTCATTGTTTTTTGTAAACGATCCAAAAAATCCTACAGCCTTTCAAAGTTAACTGTTAATAGCTTTGCGCGCAAAAAATGTATATTTATATTGAACAGCGCACGCATTTTTTTTTCCTCTCAAGTTTCTCAACGCAAAAAACCGGCCTGCAACTATCGACAGTGCTAAGTTACATTGCAATTTGCCGCATTATCATAAGCTGACCGCAATTTATCGAGACTCCGTTGTCGTCAAACTGTGCAAATAATGAATTAAACCCTAAATATTCAACTCAATATTTTCTGGATTATTTATCGCACAAAGACTAGGAGGAGACCCTCTTGCCAAAATGCAGCCCAGCCCTGATGGGCACTCATTCTGAGAAGGCTACCTCACGGACCTCGCGCCAATGAGCCTCAAGTCAAAATGCTAAAATGTAGACATGAGCTGAGACCATCCCTGTAATTTTAAAAGTTTCTTAAATTGCAATTTTCTGGAATTTCGAGTAAAAT